AAGTCCATGAGCTTGTTGTCAAGAGTGACATCAACGGATTTGATAGCAACTATGGAACAAACATTGGAAGCACTCGACTTGAATGACTTGGATGCCCTCTATGGGTCCTCATCAACCAGAAAACTTATGAGCCTGCCCAACATCTTGGATCCAAGATCCCAGGCCAAAGCCTTCCAGGCAGCAATTGACAAAGCAGTTGAGGCAAAAGTTGGGAGTCTCACCAGGATCGAAACAGTGGTCAGCCAGTGGCGTTACCCTTCCTCGTGGAGGCGCCTGCTTGATTGTGGAGCTACTGATCATCATAGAAACGATCCAGCATGTCCAAGCGAGGTGTTCCCAAGGACAACGGTCTGAGTGCTGAAACCAACTCCAAACTCACAAATCTTATTAAAGACAAGCTTGCTCCATGCCTCCAAGGGAGAACATTCCGATGATGCCCAACACACCATTTCTGTTGATGGAGGTGGTTGCTAAATACTGTCGCAACTGTGGAAGGTTCTCCAAAGGCACAATCAGAGAGGATGGATCGAATAGTATGGACACCACACAAGGAGACCTCTCAGGGATGTGCTGGTTAGTTCAGGCATGGGATCACTGGACAAAAAGTTTAATCGAATCTCTTTGATGATTTGCTTGCATCGACAACATACATGGAAACATTCTCCCAGGGAACTTGGTGATGTCCAAGTGAAGTAGCTTGGCTTTGAGGGTTTCAATCTTACTGAGAGAAGGTCTGTATTTTTCTGCAAGAAGAGCCAGAGAAGTTGGGGCCCATTGTTTTTGGCTCGAGGAACATATGAATTCAATTCTTCCTGGAGTGCATCAGTGCAGAGTTCAAGACAGCCTTTCCCGACCAGCCAAGGTTGGTTAGATCATACTGGAAACAGGATGTTGCTGCAGATCCCTATTGGCATCGATGAGTCTTACCCCATTGACTGTGAGGTCCTGATGCCATTTTTCCATCATAGACTCTGAGACCTGTCAAGGAGCGTGAACATGTTGATTTTATTAATAGTGTTAGTATAAGGTCTCCAACAACAAAGCTGGAAGACCCCTTCCATTCCATGCTCTGTCATCGTACTTTCAAAGGCGATAAGAGAGGCTAGCACATGAGACCCAGAAGCATGGACTCAGTCAGAGTGGAAATAGTAGACTGGTGGAATCCTTCAGTCCTTTCTTGCATGCCATTTCGATAGGCTGGAGTGTGGTTGATGTTAGATGGTCGTCACCATGGAAACCCCTGAGGCATAGGTGCTTTGAGGTTCCTTTCCCAGTCCATCTACCAGATCCTGTCCAGGCTCCAGTGTGGTTGATACTTCCAAGCCGAGGGGCTTCTTGAAGCTTGGTCTTCTCTTTGGTTTTCCAATGTGCTGGAGGAGCTCCTGGAATTGACTGCGGTCAATGGTGCTGCAGTCATGGTTGGAGATCAGATGGTGGATGATTGGATCAATTCAAAGAAGGCTTGTCTGAAGCCTTGTGGACTGAACAAGGATGCTGTGCTGGCTGCTGCTGTTGAAGATGAAGAATGCATGCGGCAGAGGAAGCGTCGTCAAGGTCCATTAATAGCTGATGGAATAGAGGCAGTGAAAAATCAACAACAGTGCTGCGGCAACAAGAGGAGCGTAACAAGAGGAGGCCGGTGGATATCAGTCAATCGAGTCAATGAAGATGGAATTTATGAGCTTTCCAACACTTCGTTGCTTGAATCGCTCGTTTGAATGACAATCGATCGCGATCTTGACCTCATCGTACGGAGCGATTGATTGCTCTTCAAACGACAAACTGCAAGCCAGTTTCGCTGCAAGCCAAACCAAACGACCAATGCCGGTCCTGGGTAAGCAGAGACCAACTGCGATTGATCAACAACAACAACACGAGAACCCACACGGAACGAAGATCCATCGCGATCGCTCGTGTTTTTGGTGTTTGGTTAATGAAAAAGTGAGGAGTTTTCTTCGAAGATATAAGCAAGCATGACAGCCAATTCCGATGATAATAAGGAAAGCACCAAGATGCCCGATGACGCATGTTCATATATCGTACGTTATTGCATTCGGAGCTCATTTTTCGATGAATTTTCTGCTGACTCGATGATCTGCTTTTAACTCGGCGCCCGCGATCGATCTCGATCCGTGCTGAAGATTTTCGTGGTACCGGTGATAAGATAGCAGTAGCAGTAGCAGAGCAGTGGCTCCTGTGACAGAGATAATAGGATCCTCATGAGATTACGATCGTCAAAAGGATTAAGAAAGGTGGACTCCCATAGGAGTCCATGGTATAATATAGGTCCTCATCGCGATTTCTATCGACGACAGGATGAACGCCTTGTTGAGATTACGATCGTCACAACAGGAGGTGGAGTGTCCTCATTGAGATTAGATCGTCAACAGGATAAAGAAAGGGATCGACATGGTCGATTGCTTACGAGCGAATCAGTCGAGTGGCAATGATGAGAGGATTGCTTACGAGCGAATCCAGTCGAGTAACATTGATAACAGATAGACATATAAGAATAAGAATGAGTAACATCTCATAACCTCGCATGCTACCATGCGACAATACCATTGTGCATTGATATCTAAGGATCTAGAGATGTAAAGTTTGTATTTCAAATAAGTGAGCAGTTATTGATTATTTTCTAGAATAAGCCTGCTAATTGTAAAGCTGTAAAGCTGAATTGTAAGCTGTATCCCGTCGCACATATATTCGATATTTTAGGGAACGTTTTAGCTACAGCGACTGGCACTCATTCGTTCCCTTGCTAGCTAGCCGGACGTCTTGAACAGCAGAAGAACTTTCAAACCGATTTTAGCTGCCTTATCAGAAGGTGCGCGGGTTCTCGTCCTGGCAATTGATACTCAAGCAGTTGTTTGTTGTTTTGATATCTTACCCGTGATCTTTTAATGATCAAGGGAAGAGGAAAAGCACGTGCACCGTGCAGTTTTTCATCGCGCCGCGGAAGAGGGGGAGACGGAGAGCTGCTCCAATCTTTATCTTGATGCTTTGAAACTAGCAAGCTCTGCCTCTTCTTCGCCTAAGCATTCCCCCGACCCCCCGCTGACTTCTGTAGAGGGTTGGCATTTTGAAATTCTGGAATGGTTGTCCGTAGGATGCTGCCTCTAAAGTGGGTTATTGAGAACACTTGCCCATGCAAATGCAGCCACTTGCTCTTCAGCACAGCTGCTGGTGGTTACTTTGAAATCCTCAATAGCGGGCCTAGTGAATTGGATGCAAAGCCAAAGTGGATGCCCATCATTGTTTAGTCCCTAGAAAAGTTTGTATGTTGTGAACTCTATCACTTCTAGCCAGAACTAGCTATGCCGTCTCCAGATGTGCCCTTGAACAAGAGCACAACTCATGGATCCGCCTTGCCTGCTACTAGGCCCTTTATGATATCCAGGGATTGTCTCTCCCACGCATCCTGAGACTTTTGCAATGCGTCGTCACCGCCACTTCCTTGAGCCTTGTACAACACAGGCTCTACCTCTTCCAGTTGCATCAGTGCCTTACCACGAGCAGGGAATTCACTCTCGTAGTATCGATCCCATCCTTCCTTGCCGATTGCGACGGTGACAGCCTCTTGAAACTTGCACGGAGATGCCGTGGACAACAGAATCACTGGTGTGTTGTTGTTTGCCGCACTGTTGCTGTCACTATTGTTGTTGCTGCAATAGTATCCCCGTCTCTTGGCCGCACAAAAGGCGACTGCCGTGTGCGGATCGATAATGTAGGAAAAGTCGTCTCTCACTTGTCGTGTCATGGCACACATTTCCTCGTCCGTGATTCGTTCACTCTGAAACTCTTGTTGGAGCAGTTGCAACCAATCGGGTGGCAAATCATTCTTGCTCGTCAAATCCACGGTTGTCATCCATTCTTTGATTCTAGCATGGTCGCCCGACAAGTAAAACAAAAGTCGTTCAAAATTGTAGGGCTGCACGCAATTGATGAAGGAAAGAGGAAGGATCGAGTTGGGTCAGTGAAAACGGGGCTGGCACAGCACCCTTCTTCCCGTTGGAGTACCGGCCAGAGCCAACATGACAGGATTTCTTTGCAAAAGCCTGTGTCATGTTGGCTGTTCATCGTTCACGCATGGCGTACGTACCAATTGAATATTGATGGCCTCGGAGAGGGTCCTTTCCATGGCTGCACTCTTGTGGAATTGTCCTGTCCGTGTGACACGATCGGTGATATCGTTAACGTTGACCCCGCTGATGCAGAGTCCCAGTGGAATCCCCATTTGCTTGGCCATGTATCCTCCCACCATGTTTCCCATGGCACCTGTGGGCAGTACCACATTGACAGTCATGTCTTTTTATGGTGAAAATAAAAGGCACGCATCAGAAAGTGCAAAATAAGGAAGGCAACACCAATTGCAGAAAGTCATCCGACCGTCAGCTTACCGGGGTTCCCTGGCTTTTCCTTTAACGTTTCCATCACTCTCAAGTAGGCCCATATCTGCAATGACAACACAAAAGCAACGAGATGAGATGAAGTGAATGACAATATGTACTGCAACAAATTGAGGATTTGTTCCTGACGCACGACATGACTTGACGTGACGTACATAGTGTACCATTTGCATGAGAGGACGACCAATATTGTAGGAATTCACTCCGGTCAATCGCCGTTCCTTCGTTTGGAGTTTCTGCAGTAAATTCTTGATGGGTCGATCCATGTCATCTCCACTTCCTTCAAATGCCGCCACGGCAACATACGGTGATTGAACTGTGGTCAATTGTTTGCGTTGAAAGTCCGATATTTGTCCCTTTGGATAGTGCACCAACAATGTCAAGAGTGGATTGTGAGCATCCGAGACGGCTTGGACGGCAGCCGGGCCCGTATCTCCCGTGGTAGCGACGAGCAATGTTGTTGGAGTTTTGCGACGAGTGGCAAAAAACGACAGCAATTGGATGACGGCACTCAATCCGAGATCTTTAAAACAAAATGTGGCTCCGTGAAACAGTTCCACCACGTACATGCCTCCTACGAATCGGAGTGGCACGGCATGATCCGGATTGGTAAATCCTCGAAGGGATGCGTGACAGATGGCCTCCAAGGCATCATTGTCGATTTCTTCCGAGGCGATAAAGAGTCGCAAGACGGCAAACGCCAATTGTGGATACGTGAGACCCGACCAAGACTCCAGTGTACCAGCGTCCACGTGCGGCAACGACGCGGGGACAAACAAGCCACCATCGGGAGCGTAACCGGAACAAATGGCTTCTTCAAAGCTGCAAACAATAGAAGCATCTCGAGTCGATGTGTACTTCATCTTCTTGGGTGATGATAGATAGATAGATAGATAGATTGGATGGATCTCCAGGACTTCTGATCTTGGCTCTCACTCTGTCTCGTGGCTTCAAAACTTGTGTTGGGAATGCTAGCTAGCTACATGTAGTATCTCCTAATAATGCACATGACAGAACAGAAGCAGCAGTGGAAGAAGAGAGAGGACGACGTCAAGGGACGTTGTTGGATCTTTGTGGAAAAAGATCCAATGATCAGTCCCGCGAGATCTCGGGAAGATCTTGATTGATCTCGGAATGATCTCTCTGTCTCGGAAGCCGGAAGCCCTTCAGCATTGTTTCCGACACGTCCAGTGTAGGTAGTTCTTTGAAGCGCTAATCTTTGAAGCTCCCTGGTTTGAACGTTCCGCCATTTCTGTTCAAATCTCCCTGTTCTGCCAGCCAAGAAGTTCGATGACGAGGACAACGAGCGTACGTGTTGCCACAGGCACTGGTACATTGCGTAGTTTTCTCCTGGTAGTTTCCTCCTGTCGTTGCTTCCATTGTGCTGCAGTTGAAGGAATCGTGCCTGAAAGTGCTGGGTTATCAACCCAGAGCCAGGATCGACATGTACGGTACATTGCCTAGTTTGCTGGGGATGGTACCGTCAAAACTTGCGAAGTGCCAAAGATATTGAGAGACATTGATGAATGCAGTGGCATTCTCTAGAATTGCCAGCCTTATAATCGTCGTTCGCTTACCTGTTGTTGAACAAATGAATAGTAGATGATCTCAGGAGACCAAGCTCCGATGGCAGTTGCCCGCTGAATCGATTATTAGCACCCAACCCTCAAAAGTCCTTGCCACAAGCACTGATACACGGCGTAGTTTCAGTTTCCACCATGCGGTATGTGCTGACTATTAATACTGGCACCACCCTTGGCACTTCCAAGCGATGAAGAAAGTAGCTCCACTAGTAGCTAGTCAATGTTAATGATCAAGAATAACTATGAAGGAGCAAGCAAAAGATCGAGTCGAGTCGCTGGGTGTGATCCCCAACATATTCAGGACACGAGCATTGCACGCCCGTCACTACAAACCGCTTTCCCACTTGACCCAGGCCAGGCCTGGGTCACTGATACAGGACGAAGACGGATGGAATCGAATCGTCGAAGTTTACCAAAGCTTGCTCCCGTTGCCCCCTCGGTGCTGCAGTTGCGAAGGCCGTGAAAATCTTCATGAATCCGTTTGTCTTGGTGCCATCGAATTGCTGGCCCACCCCTCTAGATCTTTTTGTGTGAGACTTGGGTTCTTACGAACAACTACAGTCACACCCACACAGGCTATCAGAGCAGTCAAAAGACAGAGCATTGGAACCAGCAAGGCAAACATCCAATGGAATGGTTCCAGAGAAGCCATTGCCTGAAATGTTGAGATTCTCGAAACTAGCACCGGGCTCTTTGCTTGCAACCAGAGTCCCGACCTCGGTAGGGAGTTTGCCCGAGAGTTCGTTGTCTGCCAGCGACAACGAAATCAGTTCGGAAAGCAGACCCAGCTCTGAAGGTACCGGACCTCGGAGATTGTTGTCTGCAAGATTGAGACTCTCCAGGGATTCCATGTTCCCAAGCTGCTCAGGGATGCCACCTGTAAGCGAATTGTTCGAAATGGAAAAGTTGAGCAAGCTGGTCATACCGCCAAGTTCCGTTGGAAGACTGCCTACAAGGCGGTTGTTGTCCAATGACAGCGATCTGGACGGAATGATGGAAGCAAAAATATCCGGTAGGGAACCACTGGCGAAGAGGAATTCAACGTAAGAATATGCGCGACGAAACAGGTTTCCAAGCGTGCTGGGAACCGATCCAGTGAGCTGATTGTTGTGGAGGCTAAGTTCACGCAGTGAAGTAATCAACCCAAGCTCAGAAGGCACATTTCCTGACATGTGATTGCCGGACAAGTCCAATAGTTCCATTTTCAAGAAACCATCTTGTTCTGAGAAGACACCAAACTCCGTTGGTATATGGCCGGTCAAGATGTTGTCCTGCAAAGCTAGGGCAGCCAAATCTGATATCGAAGAAAGCTCGGAAGGAATGGCACCCGACAATCCATTGCCAAACAAGCCCAATCCCCACAAGGACTTCAAATTACCCAGCTCACTTCAAACCACCGAAAGAGGGTGAGGATAGGGGTTTCGGTGGCATTTGGGAGAGCACCACAAGCATGCACATACCTTGGGATCGAGCCATGGAGACGGTTATTTGCAAGTAGAAGGCCTGATAAGCCAAGCAGCCTTCCAAATTCTGTCGGAATGGGACCACTCACGTTTGTATTCCATATTCCCAGCATCTGCACAGACGGAAAGTCAAATTGAGAGAGACAAGGGGTTGTTGACACGAGACGAGCTTGACACCATCGTACCCAAATATATTCAAGTTGACCAAACTCAGAAGGGATGTTGCCTTCAAGTGCTGGGTTGTCACCCAGAGTTAGGAAAGACATGTACTGAACATTGCCTAGTTCGCTGGGAATTGTTCCCGTCAAGCTAGGTGCCAAAGAGATTGAGAGATCGATAAATGGAGTGGTGTCCTCTGGAATTGCCAGCCTTATCATTGTCGTTCACTCACCTGTTGTTGAACAAATGGAAAGTAGGCGATCTCAGGAGACCAAGCTCCGATGGCAGTTGCCCACTGAATCGATTATTGTAGAGGAGCAACCAATACAGGCGCCGAAGCCTTCCAATCTCTGGAAGCGACGTAGCGAGGAAGAAGCATGTTGAGCATGGGCACTTTGCCACGTCTAGATTGGAGAACCACCTTTGGCGGCTTGCTTACCTGTGGGTATGACTCCAGAGTATGAACACGAATCGAGCCCCAAGATGCCCAGGTCGTAGAGGTTGCCAACTGTACTCGGAATGGATCCTGTCATTGCAGGATTGAACACAGTTGAAAGTGCAGTCAAGTTGGTGAGCAATCCAATCTCTGTGGGAAGCGTGGAGGTCATGCGATTTGCTGTAACGTCCAGAGCAAACAAACTTGTCAACAATCCAACACGAGATGAGATGGATCCAGTAGCTATGTTGCCACGGAGAGAAATAGTCTTGAGCGAGGAAAGCAGATACAACTCTTCTGGGATGCTTCCCTGGAGCCCATTGGAGAGCAGCAAGAGATGTTGATACTCCTCTCCCGTCTCGCCCGTGCAAACGTTGGAGTCAAGCCTCGACACGTTGAATATTGTGTATGTGGTACCACTGCCAAAGGAGGGGTCGTCGGCAGCGGCCGCGGCTTCTGGCTCCGATTGGAACCACTCGCATTCGTGCACGTCATACGATATCCAACCAGTGTCCTGGACCCAGCCCCTGGCTTCGTTGCCTCCTGCGATAGATGAGCTGAGATGAGTGCAAAGAGACCACATATTACCGATCGCAGAGGCACGCCAATTGACTCACCCAATGAAAAGTAGATCGTGGCAAGGGAAAAACGTTGAACCGTCCGCCAATCTGGGTATGTTTCCAAATTGGGATCACCCATCAACCACTCATAGGCCAGCATCTGAGGCGAGTTGTCGGATCTGTCAATGGCTTGCAGTGAGTAGTCCGGAAGCAAGGAGCGAACACGATCTGCCATGGCTGCTGTTGGCTGCCCTGGCATGATCACCTCGTCTTGTGCATCTGTGTCTGGCTGATCATCGTTGTTCCTTTGCTCGACTCCAACAATGGAAGCAATAGCTACCGCTCCGGCGATTACAAAGACCAATGCTGCCAATTCATGCCATCGGGGGCGACGACAACAAGCCAGTTTGTTTCGAGTTCTTATTGGTCGTTCGTGCCACTCCTGGGCTTGTTGCAAATCGTCCTCCGTGACGGGGTTGGCAACAGCGAGATTGGCGGTAGACGTTTGCACGGAAATATCCTGGTCATCGGGCTGGGCCGGCTGATGATCGTGTGATGCTGGCCTTTCAATATCTTCTTCGTCTGCTTCTTCTTCTTCTGCTATGGCAACCCCATTTGTGACGATGGTGCCTTGGTGATGTACTCGCTCTTGGATGGCCATCTTCTTGCGGTGCAAACTTGAGGTGGGGGTCCCGGTCTGCTCCCCCGCCGTGGCGGTTGGCATACTAGAAGCAGCAGCTACAGAGACCCGCAAAGTCCTTGCTTGCTCGGGCGTCTTTTTGGCTAGACCGGATGGAAGAGGTGCATTCGGATCAGACTGTTGTCTTTGGTGTCCCTCTGTGGTTGAAAAACGCTCCTCATGTGAAGGCACCGGTAGCTTGTGGGGGTATCCACGCTTCTTTCCTCTCAACTTTCCAGTGCGTTGCTGAATGATTTCCTCCGAACTTTGAGAGTTGATGGGGCTGATCAGGTGGCCTTTTTCTTCTGCGGTGCTCTTACTGTCAGCACCTTCAATGGCCACAGCACCCACCACTCCTGATGCCTTTTCAGACGTGGATATTCGCTTGGCTTTGCGTTCACCCAATTCCCTCTTTGTCGTTGGTGTTTGGTGGCTGTCTACGGCCGCTAAAGGAGTTGTGCCGGGGGTGGGGGTAGTGGTAGTTGTTCTTGGGTTGCTATGATCTGACGACGAGGGTGCTTTTGCTTGCGTTCTAATGTCATCTTTTTTCTTGGTTGCGCCGCCATCTGTGTCCAACTCTTCGCTGATAAGTGACTTCCATGATGCTTGATCCGTCCTGCCCGAGTTTGACTTTGCATCCAGATTGCCAACATTATCTTGATGAACTTTTTCATTCGTCTTTTCGGGTGGTGATGGAACCATGGAGGGATCAGAACCCGCCATCAACGCTGGACCGCCGTGCTCTGATGCCACATCTTCCGAATCTTCGTCGTCTTCCTCAGACTCCCACTCAAACCGAAAACGCCAACCAGATGGCTCTTGGGACTTGGTGCTCATGTTCCTGATGTCGTTCTACAAAGCAATAGATTGCCGGGGCTGTCTAAAGAGAGAGATGTTTGTTGCCGTTGCTTTCACCATCCTCCCTACCGCGTTTTTGGCAAACAGGGGTTCTGGATTGGCTTTGGCGGTTCGCGTCTTGTTGATTTACGCCGTCAAGCTGGTAAGGCTGCCCAACACTATGTGCCGGGTAACTTCGTGTACTCGTCGTTTAGGTTTGAAAGCACTTGTGCAGCACCCGTTCTTGGTAGCCTGGGTGGGTGGCATGTCAAGAAACCTCTGCTCCCATCTCATGTCCGAGTCCTAGCAGCTAGCTAGCTAGCTAGAGCCCGACAACTTTTCAAAAGCTATGTCATAGGGTAAGATGCTGATGGAGGAGTCTCCTAGTACTAGTAGCTTGGAAGACAAGGGCGCGTGGATGGGCCGGCATATCCCGATACGGCCGTCAAGCTGCCATGTCTAGGGTAAGATGCTGATGGAGGAGTCTAGCTAGCTAGCTAGTAGCTTGGAAGACAAGAGCGCGCGGATAGGTCCGGCTCCCGCACCCGTCAAGCTGGAGACCCCCACCGGAACAGGTCTGGCTGAGACTCAATTGAGGGGTTCACAGCTGTGTTGGTGGGTGATATGCATGTACCGGTACTAGCTACAGTACATGTAGTCGAAGCTCTAGCTACTACTGTACCGTATCTATCAGAGGACGTGCAGCTCTAGCTTGACTCGACTCAACGCCATAATTACAATAGAGACCGCCCATGGCGACCGGTACGATTGTAGCTGGAATGATCCGCTACTAGTATGATCCAACACTGCCTACAGTACCACAACACAATTATATCACTACATCCAATAAACTCTAGGCTGACAAAATGACAGCCAGCTCTCATCCTACAGAAACGCTTCCTCGTAGTTTGCTTGGCCAGTCGACCTGGGGGGTGCCTCAAATCAATCTTGTTTGTCTGAATATATCCCCAACCACCTGCATGTGGTACCCATTTGATGCAAACAGGTGGTGAACAGTGGTCAAAGGCGGTAAGTAGTGGTTAAGGCTAATACAGGCGGTAGAATGGTGAACAGGCGGTAAACAGGCGGTAAACAGGCGGTAAAACAGACGTTTGAAGGCGGTCGGAGGCGGTCGAAAGCGGTTGAAGATGGCTAAACTTGGTCGGAGACGGTACCTAATCGCCAAACTGTCAGAAAGGTGGGGTAAGAAATGAAGAGGCAAAACCAGTTGGTTTGAGGCACCCCCCTGCCCGCTCCTGCTCACAGAACCGAGAAACTAGCTAGCTAGCCAACACTAGCAAAATCCACCGCCGAAAGAAACAGCACAGAATCGGAATCACGTATTGAGTCGGTGAAGCAAGCTTGACATCACATGGACTCGGTCTTCTTGGCGTCTTCGCCAAGATTCGGAATCACGTTTTGTTTGTCTTTTGTCGGCGAGGCAAGCCTTCCATCACTTGGATTTGGTCTTCTGTGTCCAAATCAGCAAAAAGTTCAAAGATTTGATCAATCTTTCTCTTCTTGCGAGGGTTTGAACTGCCATCGGCATCATCGGAACCACGACGGGTGCCACCACCATTATCAATGGGCATTGGTGTCATCACTTCCGTCATAGCACCAGAGGCACGTAGGCTTGTCGCAGGCGATACCCGATGGATGTCGTCGTCAACATCATTGAGGCCAGATTGTCATCGTCATTGGCCAGTGCAGTCGTCACTGCCGCCATGCCACCAGAGGTGTTGGGTTGAAACAGCCGTGGCGGAGGCAGGTGATACCAAATGGGTGCCACCATCCTCCTCAGACTGTAGCGTCGTCGCTGCCGGAAGTGGATTGTCGCCGTTAGATTCTTCTGCGGCGCTGACATTAGCTTCTGTTTCTTGACCTCCAGTAGGATGCGTAGCCACATACTCCGAAAACGTTGGGAGTGGAGCAAGTGATGTTGCTCCCCACAGTCGAAGACTAATAGTTGCCGTATGTCTTCACAAGGAGCGTCTCGTCCAGTCTTCACTCGCAGACGCTGGCCATTGAACGATCCATGTGCGCGCACAAATACGCGAGTTTCGTCGAGGGTCATTGGTTCCGGTACCTGGATTCCTCCTCGTTTTGGAGGCAACCATAGGTTTCCATCTTGTTGTTGGAAACCAAATTTCTTCAAGTATTTGACTGCTTCGTTGTCATTTAAGATGCGAGGAGAGAAACCATTGGTCTTGTTGGTGGCGTTAGACAATTGAGTTGATTCCACATTGGCAACCCTGGTTTTCTCTTCCAATCGGAAACGCCAAGTTAGGCCCAACTTGTGAATGTTGGGAATGCCCTTCTTGACAAAAATTTCGGGCATGCTGTCGGCTAGAAGATGCTCCTTCCGGTTTTGGTCATTAGTGCAGTTTGCGGGCCAAGAATAATAGCCCGAGGAGTAGCCGAATCCTAGCTAGCTTGAGGAGAGTCTCGTACATGCCAATATTCGAGGGGAAACGATCATATTCACCAATGATCTCTTGCTTCCATTGCACGAGATGAGTGGGGTCAAAGTCAAGAAGAACAGGGTCTTGTCCTTCAGGAGTGTCCTTGGCAACTTCACCGTACTTATTGAACATTGCAAGCAGGCTTTCCTCGTCATCAGCACAGTGGACACCATTTTCTCCAAAAGCCATGATTGTGGCAATTGATAGATCCCTCAAGGTTGCTGGAATGATCAGACCATATCGTGTCTCCCATCCCACAGCCCGAAGGTACCTTTCGTAGAGACGCTCTGCCAGGCTAGTAGAGTCATGTGGGTTGGCATTGCCGTTGTTAGCTGTCTGCTCATCACTGAGAACGCTTTCAGGACTTGAATTGCTGCGATTCACTTCCAACGAATCATCATCGTCGACATCTATGGAAGTTTGGGCAACTGAGGACACCTCAAAAAAAGTTTGCACGTCTGGATGTTGCGTTCGAGGCTGGAGTGGCAATGGGACCATTCCCGGAGCCAATTCATGCTGGGCCAACTGCTTTAGAATACGACAAATGTCTTCTTTGTTGCCTTGCTCTTGCAGCTTCAAAATATGCTTTTTCAAGTACTTATAATTTGGTTGGTCAATCAGCGCTTCCATCTGAGGTCGAAGGAGCCCACCATTCGGAAGCTCTTTACTAATTTTCTTCTCCTCCATGTACCGTTTCCAGAGGCTCTCTAAAGAGTACACGTCCGGCTTTGAGTCTTCATTGGATGCTTCTGCTGTCGACGCCATTGTCCTGATTGAATGATGAATGAGTAATTCATCATTCTTTGTGGGTGCTTTGATCGGGTCTCAGGGAGAGTTCGCGCCAAAACTACATTTTTAATTAATTTAAATTGGACGCGCCGTCCAACCAGCAATATGTGACGTGCAATGCGGATGCAGTCCCAGTCCCATGGTAAGAACCCCCCCCTGCTGTCAAAGAGCGTGAAAACCAATCCACGCCGCTCGATCCTCTTTGTCCATTGCCCGAACTGTCATCAACATGTCCACCAAAGTTGAGTCCACTGAGGTACCACTCTCCCAAGCGTTTGCCCTGTTGGCAGATGAAGACTATCATGATGTGTCTCTGAAAGGCACAGATGGAGGGATGGTTCCTGCCAATCGAATGGCCCTTTCAGTCCGCAGTGACTACTTCAAGACCATGTTCAAAAAGGACGGATTCAAGGAATCCACTGATGCAATAGTATCCATTGGATTTTCTGGCAAGGTTCTCAAGGCAGTTGTGGAGTATATCCATACAGACACTGGCATTCTTTTGACCAAATATTCTGAAGCCGCCACTGGAGCCTCTTCCAAAGACATCACAGAAGAAATTTCCACTGATTGCATGGAGGAATTCCAGACCTTGGTGTCATTGACTGAAGCAGCTACGTACGTTGGATTATCAGGTCTCTGCCAAAAAGCTCAGAAATGTCTGGCATTCTTCATGAAGGAAAATCCTTCATTTTCATTTGCTATTTTGGCAGCATCCAAACAAGAAGGACCTATTATTCAAGAGAAATTGGTTAGTCGGGCCTGGAGCGTGTTCTGTGGACTCACTGGAGACTTTTTTGGAACGGTTCTGAAGCACATTTCTGCAGCTGTTCTGGGAGCCATCCTTAAGGATGCCAAGGCCAAGCTCGACAATATGAAGCTCTTCAAACTGATCCACTCATGGTCTACCTGTGAGCTATCAGGTTCGGACGAATCCAAAGAAAGCCGCCTATATTCAGCCAAAGATTTGGTTCAAAACTATGTGGAACTGGAGTTCATTGATCCTGATGAGTTGTCTACTCTTGTTGAGACATCTGGGTTGGTAACATTGGGTAAACTATGCAATGCCTTCAAAAAACAAGCAAAGAAAGCCAAGCATGACCACAAAATTGCTATACACAAGCCTCTTTTTCATACTGTTGAGTGGAAATTTGCCCAATCTAAGACTTGGACTTCATCTCTCAACGGTTGGAGCAGTGACATCCTCAGTGGAGCTGCTTTTGCATTGGGTGAAAAGTATCGTTGGACTGTCAACACAAACACTATCGTCACTGGTTGCTTCTGGCTAGGTGTGACTAAATCTACCCACACTTTTGCTTCAGCAGTGTTCTGTGGTTTTCAAAGGGATTGTTGGGGTGTCTATGGAAACACTGGAAATGAATATTCCAACAAAGCTTCCGTTAATAGACCTCTAGGAGAAGCTGCCAAGTTTGGAGCTGGATCACGTGTCACCATGACTCTTGATTTATCAGCAGATGCTCCAGGAAATGGGACTCTATCAATCTCAGTCAATGATCAAGAATCAGTTGTAGCAGTTTCTGATTTGCGAACCCATCTTGATGGCGGCAGGGCAAGTTTTGTCCCAGCTGTGTCATTTGTCAATGGAAGTGCCACAATTGAGGATGTCCAGATGCTCCGATAGACTATCTCCAGCGAACCGCTCATCCGGCACCTCCAATCAAATATTGAGCCGCATCCATGATACAAAACTTCGACACGGAGTGCGAGCAACTGAATTATGTGCGATGGAAGAAGTGGCACACTAATAATCACCGACGTGAAGGAGGCGCGTGCAACTAAATCATGCAGCGTGGGTATCAATCAAAATTCCATGCCATTATTAGCCTCTATTCTCTAGTAGAGTACAGTACTAGCATGCGATTGTATTTAGCAAGCTTTTTGTGAATCGCTGAATGATGGAACGGATGTGCGAGCAACCAAATTATGTGCGAGCGTATCATCCTTGTTGTCATCTCCGACGCAAATGTGTCGTTTCCTGTTTTGCTTCTGGCTGTGCATTTTTTCCTATAATCCGTTTCCACAGCACCTCTTTCAGTGGTTCCACTCTCGGGTGTTGTGGAGGGGTTAACTTCTGCTAGCCAGCCAATTTTAATTTCGAATAGGCAATTCTTATTACTCTCGTCATCTCCGACGCAAATGTGTGGTTTCCGTTTTTGCTTCTGTCGTTTCTCCAATAATCTGTTTCCACAGTGCCTCTTCGGCTGTTCCACTATCGGCTGTCGTTGTAGTGGCTGCGGGCGATTGCAAGATTCCCTGCTGTTGCAGAAACTGTCGTTGTTGCCATCGTGCTTGTCGTGTTTCGGTCATGTGCAATTTCCATTCGGGCGTAAACAAATCCAACCGCGGCAACGTATCGACTTGAGGTTCTTCCAAGACGACAAAATGAGGATCTCCCGTTTGAATGGCGGCAATCGGTGGACAGACATCAAATTGAAGCAGCGTCTCGAGATGGAGTTCGACGAGGAGTTGCCGTGCTTGTTGAAGAGCATCGGGTTGAAAGGTGGGATAACCACAGACACCGGCAAAAATACCGTGTGGTTCTTCGAGTTGGTAAATATAAGCATGGAGGGTGAGCATTTTGGCAATCATTTCGAGGGGATCGGATTCTTTCAAGTTGAGGTAGTAGTAGTAGTAAGAAGTGGAAGTAGAAGTAGAAGGAACTGACAGAGAGGGCGTGTCTGGGAAGAGTGTGTTTTTGTATGGAATATGCGTGGCTGTTGTTGCAGTGGAAGTAGTGGACGTTGTTCCCAGAGTAAAGAGCGCATAACAAGCAGCCAATAGACAAAAGAGCGCCAGACAGGAAGAAGAGTGTCGCTGCTGTCGTGCACGTCGAAACGAAGCATACAGCTGAAAGTACTCTTGGAGAGACGACTGCTGATGTTGCTGCGCTAGGACCAGAGCTTCCTTGCGTTTCTGGAGCAAATAGGACGGTTGGAATTGACTCTTGGTGCGTCTCGAGCTGGTAGTACTAGTACTCGCACTGGAAAACGCCAACGGCAGTCCAATACTTCTGGCCCAACTGCTCCAATCCAGTTGGTCTTGCTCTTCCTCCTCTGCTCCTCTACTATTCATAGTAGGATCACGTGCTCGCACACTGCTGTCGCTGTCACTGTCGTTGCCACCATCGTGACTATGATTAGTATTGTAACGGTGGATGTGCAGGTCGTCGTACGAATGAACCATCTTCTTGTTGCTGCTGCTCTTGGTCCGTCTGGTCACGTTGAAACTGCGGCTCTTGCCCACCGTCAGTCGTTTCATCGTTCCTTCAATCGTACTGTAGCGTCTTTTCAATGCACCTGATACTCTATTGTACATGTAGCAACCAAGCAATCGATGGATATCTACTGTTGAATAGTTGATGGCAAACACTAATAGCACCAAAGCCGAACACACCAAAGCCACGAGTAGTTAGTAGTTTAGAAGGAGGTCCTTGTGCTCTTGATCCTCCATCCAATTCCAAAAAGAGACTTTTGTCAAGGTTGTGTGACTTTACTTTGGTTGCTTTGTGACTGTTGAGGGAGATTTTGTCGATGGGGAACAGAGCGAACTGGCACAAGCAGGGTAAAGTGGATTTAAATCGGCAGAGAATGAGAGCGACGCGGGTTCGCAATGTGATTTAACTGTTCAATACACAGTGTGAATGAATCTGTACACGAGGGCTATACTCCTTGTTGATCCCAGATTCAACACAACTATCGCCATGACTCTAAGCAGAGCAATGTGGAAGCACACTTGCTCCTGCCTGGACTGGTACGTCACCGTAGATAGAGTTAGGGTTTTCAAGGGGATGATCAGTCGGTAGGAGCCAATCCAAGCCACACATTGCATGTAGCCACCAATCGAAGAGGACAATGGCGTCCTTTTCTTTTTAAGGGGCTACTCAGTTCAATGTCGGTTTCCAACGGTTTTGGCTAGGTGCACCAGATTGCACCTTCCAACGGTTTTGGATCCCAACGGTTTTGGATTGGTGCACTAGATAGCACCGTTCCCAAACTCTAGCACTATCGTTTCGACACTGCACACACAGGTGTATTTAGTCGTCCCTAAATAGTCCTAGTGAACTGCCCATGTCATCCGGAGTGCGGACGGCTGAGGCGGTGGCTGGGAGTCGAGGAAGACTCTAACTAATGTCAAGAGTATCTCACAATTAATGACGAGCCTTTTACGTTTAAAAGAACCTTTCCGCAAAACCGCTATTGCCTCACCGCCGTCTGGCGCCGATGCTGACGGATCCATAGAGCAGCAGAGCGGCCAAAACATATTAGTAGCAATGAGACCGGATATATATTTGTTGAATGATTGATTCGTCACGCGACTGGACTGAGGACTCGACTCGACTCACTTTGACGAAGGTGCATTGGGTACAGTAGGGGTCTGCATGCCATGGCTACATGCAGCCCTGGGTGGGCATTGGAACCTTTTGAGATGAGCTCATGAGGACAAGGGATGCCCCTGGGATGCATGGACATGTGCCTACACTGCCAAAGGTGGGCATCTAGGCATTCTCCGGTGGGCACGTGGGAGGGGATGTCCCTTGGATCCAAAGACCTGCTACTTTGCGGCCAAGGGCAGGCATTTGTCATTGCTAAAGTCGGCACATGCTAATGGTTGGTTGCCCTTGGAATGAGACAACTTGCTCCGCAGCTGCTCACACTGGGGATTTGGACATTCTCCAGTGGGCCAGAGCCAAGGGATGCCCATGCATGGAACAGTGCAACTTGCAGTACTGCTGCAGGGAGTGGGCATTTGGACATTCTCAAAGGGGCAAGGGAGAATGGATGCCCCTGGGATTCCAGCACATGTCGTGAAGCTGCCAAATGTGGGCATCTAGACATTCTCAAATGGGCTCGAGAGAATGGTTGTCCATGGGATAAGGGAACCTGTGAAGAGGCAGTGAAAGGTGGCCATTATTTGCATGTTCTCCAATGGGCACACAACAATGGCCAGGACATGCATGTTTGCAGCTGGATATGGTCATCTTGACATTCTCATTGGGCACATCACGAAGGGTGCCCGTGTTATGGAAATACTTGCTATGCAGCTGCTGCAGAGGGCCATTTGGAATGTCTGAAGTGGGCCCATGCGAATGGTTGTCCTTGGGATAAAACTGCTTGCTCTGCTGCTGCATACTATGGTCACTTTGAAGTTCTGAAGTGGGCTCGAGTCAATGGATGCCCATGGGACCAAGCACTGTTTGTCAAGCTTTTAGGAATGGACACAAGGCAATATTGCAATGGGCACACGAGAATGGCTACCCAAAGTAGACCTCTAAGCTATAGCTAGCTAGCTAGCTAGCTCATGCTTGCTCTCTAACTGCATTCTTCTTCTTCTACATGTGCAGTGTCTTGTTCGCATCTTTGTGTTGCCAGCTGCCCGGCTGCTCGGCTGTTAGCTGGCTACCAGCGAACTGGCTTTTGCTGCATTGACTGTTTGCACTAACCTGTCTAGACCATATTAGCGCACTACTAACCCTTCGCTTTTGCAAAGGTGGACCGCTGACTGATCCTCCTCGTACCGTACCAGCAAAAGCTCTTTCAATGAACGACCCGGTTAACAGGCGATCATTACGACTTCAACTGTTTGCGACTGAGACTCACGCTCGCTCTGCCTGGTTGGCTGCTTATGCACCGTACGGCGTCGTTGGATCTGCCTGTTGGATCTCGAGATCCACTTTGAATTTACATGGACGCGAACTCTTTTGAAGTTGGCTCCTTTTCATTCGACACCATGATGCGTCTTGCTTCTTCGACGGTACGGTACCACGCGCTAGCTGGTCCTCGAAAGCCGCAGGCGGCAATTTTCCGGGTGGGCATTGCTTCTACTATCCAAAGCCTCTCCTTTGCACGATAGCTTCCAATTGCCGTAACGGTTTAGATCCATTTTTCTCAGAGCATTCAGTAGTTGGCGTCGCGAAGTCCTCATTGGAGGTTTGATTGTTGCCGCGCAACCAAACGATCGGTAATGCCATAACATGAAGCGTGCGCTTCATTGGTTGTTGACTTAATCGTGGTGATTCTTTGGCCTGTAGGCACACCGTGGAAGATCCAACTAATCTAAAAAATGAGGGTTGGCGTTCTGGTATCTTTGCGATCTGTCCAAAACGTCATATGGAGCGTGGAGCATGCTACCGATAGTAGCTCTCTTCCCCACTTCCGCAAAGACCCCACCACAACTCCAAGACTTGACTTCTATTATCATCCATTATCTCCATGCACCATGTCTACTTCTTCAAAGCTCAGCCCCAACAACAGTGGGCCCCTTGACTTTCACGTGCTGTTGGAAAAGAAGGAAATTTGGATCGATAATGTCCTTCCCTTTGTAGGCATTGGACATTATGCCTTTGTTGGTGCTGTCAACAAACGACTCAACCAGCTCTACAAGGAGTACGGGCAGACTGTGCAGAATCCACCAGAAGTTTGGATTTCTCGCTATTTCAACAAGAAACGTACAGCGACCATCACTGATACATACTATCGTAATGCTTTCTACAATGTGGCCTGTGCGGAACACTGGTTCCGTGATGATACTGTCAGCAAGACTCCCCGGCAATCCAAAGTTTGTGAAACGATTGCCAATATTGGTAGTAGTCCCACATCAGTTCTTCAATGGGCGCGCCACGAAAAAGAGTTCCCATGGGATGCTCAGACCTGTCGGCATGCTGCTAGTAATGGCCGCTTGGACATTCTCAAATGGGCTCATGACAATGGATGCCCATGGGATCCATCCACTTGCATCTGTGCTGCAGAGCATGGTCATTTTCATGTTCTTAAATGGGCCAGGGAAAATGGCTGCCCATGGGGCCCACAAGTGTGCTGGGGAGCGGCTCATTCTGGTCATTTGGAAATGTTGAAATGGGCTCGTGAGAACGAGTGCCCTTGGAATTCCTACACCTGCTCGGCGGCTGCTAGAGAGGGTCACTTTGAAATTCTAAAATGGCTCCATGAGAATGGATGCCCGTGGAATGAATTAACATGCTCCTCTGCTGCTACAGGTGGTCATTTTGAAATTCTCAAATGGGCGCATGAGAATGATTGTCCCTGGGATGAATCCACTTGTGCTTTTGCTGCAAAAGGAGGGCACTTTGATATGCTGAGATGGATCATTGAACAGGGAGGCGTGTGGGATGCACGCACTTGCAGCAATGCTGCCTTAGAGGGTCATTTCGAAATCCTCAAGTGGGCACATGAGAATGGGTGCCCATGGGAAGAAGGCACGTGTGCAAGTGCTGCAAGGATGGGCCATTTGAATATACTGAAGTGGGCTAGAGAGCAAGGATGCCCCTGGAATGAATTCACCTGCTCAGAAGCTGCTGGTGATGGGCGTATAGAAACACTCAAGTGGGCACGAGAGAATGGGTGCCCTTGGGATGAGAATACATGTGCTTGGGCTGCTATGAGAGGTCATTTGGGAGCTCTCAAGTGGGCACGTGAAAATGGATGTCCATGGGATGCTGCCGCCTGCTCTTTTGCTGCTGGAGGCGGTCATTTTGAACTGCTGAAATGGGCTCGTGAAAATGGATGCCCATGGGATATGAGGACATCGGCTGCTGCTGCGGGAGGTGGGTATTTTGATATTTTGAAGTGGGCCCATGAAAATGGCTGTCCCTGGAACGAAAGGACATGTTCTGGCTCTGCGGGAAGTGGTCGTTTGGATATCCTGAAATGGCTCAGGATGAGTGGTTGTCCTTGGGGTAGAGACACTTGTGCTGCTGCTGCCTCGGGTGGATATCTTTACATTATTCAGTGGGCACGTGAAAATGGCTGTCCCTGGGATGCCAACACAATCAGGGTGGCGGCTGGGACTGGGAATTTGGATATTGCAATATGGGCTCGTGGGGAGGGCTGCCCAGATCCTGTGTTTCCGCCTATGGGCTAGATGATTCTGACTAGAGCACCAATTGCAATGCAAGATGTATGTAACTATAGTTTAATCCTACTACTAGCTAGAGAAAGCAGAGTTTCATAACGTAAGTTGTCCTCGAGCAGTTTCTCTGGCCTGCCAATAGCTACCGAATACGACTACCACGTTGTGGCCCATACCGGTACCGGTACCCAGGTCGGCCGACCTACCGCAAGGGAAAAGAACGAGATACAGTAAAATATCCCCACCTGAATGGTGACCCTTTCCATGTGTGTCTAATGGGCGCGAGGCCATCAACGTGGTGTGAGACGAAGAGGAACCGCTGGCGAGATGCATCCCGGGCCACATTCAACTGCAATCCATCTTTGGCCATCGATCTCCCGTTGGTGTCTATCTAGCTATAGCTACTAGCTAGCTAGGAGCAAATGTATAGCTACTGGCAGTAGCTATTGCAATAGTGGAGATAGCTCGTGTCACGTCCACGACGAGGGTGCAGAATCATGAGGCGAACAGCAACGGGTAACACGGCAACTCGGAACATCATGGTGCGAAAGAAACTCACAGTGGGAATGAATCTTTGAAATTTTGGCAAAAGATTTGTGTCCAACGGCCACCGGACACGACGAAAGAGTTGCGTCCCATCAACCTACTAGTCTACCAGGTGCTGATACCCAACAACGAAATTGGCTGTGATCATTAAAAAATTTGGAACTTCGAAAACTAACCCTTTTGTTGTCAAGGGTATCTGGCCTTGGATAATTAGGCCATCGAGTTTCTAAAAGTTCAGCGGCACATCGACCCACTTAGCTTTCCACACGGTGGTACGCGTTCCGGATATCTAAGTAACCTTGGGGACTCTTCATCTTTCTACTGAGAATCTATCCGATAGAAGGAGATCAGTCTCGTGCTCGGCTCATTCGTCAATCGTCACCACCATGAACGGCCAAAAAGACCAGCAGGAAGCGGCTGCTGCCGCCTCCGCGATGCCAGAACAACTCGTGGAACTCACCAAGAATAAGGAGCCAAGGGAAGAAGCAGAAGAACCAGAAGAAGAGGTTCGGTCCATAAACTACCGAATCAAACTTGCAGCATCCCTTTGTGCGGTGATCCTTGTCATCGTTATCGTCGTTGTTGTCCTCATCATGGGAAACCTTATACCCGGCTTAAGATGCACTACCGGTTTCGATATGCCTCCCGCCAATCAAATCCTGGACAATGGTTATGTTCGAGTGGGCGTGGACTATAACGAAGGCGGAGCCATTTCCTACGTGGCACCGTCCAACGACCCGCAAAACAACCTGATCAACGTCTTTGACAAAGGCCGGCACGTCCAAATGTCTTTTTTCGCGGGACCCCAGATCTACAATCCTGATGGAAAGTGCGACAAGCTGTTCAATGGATATGAGTGGTCCTGGAACCCCATTGGTGCCGGGGATGTCGACGGTGGAGTTTCCCAGATTCTTAACTTTGAACGATCCGTCGGCCAAATGTCCATCCTCACACGACCACTCCAGTGGGCATGTCACGGTGTCCCTTGCGAATGTACCTTTGACAAGCACATTCAAGTCATTGATGGGAATCCCGCCGTCAAGGTCACCGCCACACTCCGGAACGAACGAACCGACGAATACGATGAAAACGAAGCAAAAGGTCAGGAATTACCGGCCGTCTACACCAACGGGGGATTCCATCGACTCTTTACGTACCGGGGCGCATCTCCCTTTGCACCGGGTGAACCGGTGGAAGAGATACACGCTACCTTTGAAAACCAATTTTGGGTCCCGGGCTTTTTCCGGGGCACGGAAAACTGGGCCGCCATGATCAATGACGATGGTTGGGGTCTCGGTGTCATTAGTCCAGAACATGATGGCTTTTTGGGAGGCTTTTCCGATCCCGGCAAGCGTGGTTGCGGTGGACCTCGAGATGGACAAGCAGGATATATCGCCGTGGTTGAGAGCTATGCCTTGCCGAGGGACATTGTATTTACCTACGAGTTTTATCTCGTGGTGGGGACGGTCGACCAGATTCGGTCCTATGCTCAGCGGGTCATGACGGGAGACGAATCGGCAATGGGCAACCCTCCTCCCGACGCGGAGAGCAGTCCGGAAATTGTACCGGTCCCAGAGATTGTAGCGGTTCCTCTGCCATTGCCATTGAACAGCAATCCATAGCTATAGTTAAGCTTTGTAAAGAAAACATTCATAGATCCAAACACTGGAGTTGGCTAAAGCAAGGCACAAAGAAACCTGTTTGATTCAACCCTATCTTCCGCTTCGCTGTAGTTTTGCGATGGCGAAAACTGCGTAGATGCTGTTCGTACGGGGGCAGCATACAAAAGAAGTGACATCAGCTAATCTGTAGATTATTTACACATGCAGACCGTCTGGACATCCTCAATAGTGGCACTTGCATTGGAACATGACACAGCTGGGACAAGACTGGCCGTGCCACCAACAAGATGGGTTCGCAAATCAGAAACTGCTACAACAGGTTCTTGATCATTGACAGAGATTGACAGAGTCCCATTTCCCGGAGCCCCAGCTGATAAATCAAGGGTCATGGTGACACGAGATCCAGCTCCAAACTTGGCAGCTTCTCCTAGAGGTCTATAAGCTGAATATTTGTTGGAATATTCGTGTCCATTGGATCCATAGACACCCCAGCAATCTTCTTCATCCCCACAAAACTTGTCTGGTTTGAAAGTATGTGTACTAGTTTTGGCCACACCAAGCCACACAGCTCCAGTACCAAAAGTAGAATTTGTAGTGACAGTCCATCGATACTTTTCTCCCAATGCAAAAGCAGCTCCATCGAGGATGTCACTCTTCCAACTATTGCGAGATGAGGTCAGAGTTTTGGATGAGGCCTCCTTCCACTCCACCAAACCAACATCAAGAGGCTCGTGAAACCTAACATTATATTCATGCTTGGCCTTCTGTGCTTGTTTTTTGAAGGCGTTGCATAGCTGACCAAGTGTCACCAACCCGGATGTCTCAACAAGACTAGACAACTCATCAGGATCAATGAACTCCAGTTCCACATAGTTTTGAACCAAATCCTTGGCGGAATTTAGGCGGCTTTCGTTATCCGGAACTGATGGCTCACTCTTGGACCATGCATGGATGAGATTGAAGATTTTTGAATTTTTGAGCTTGGCATTGTCATCTTGAATGATGGATCCTAGAACAGCTGCAGAAATGTGCTTCAGAACAGTTCCACAAAATTCTCCAGTTATTCCACAGAACACGCTCCAAGCCCGACTGACCAATTCCTCCGACACAACAGGCCCCTCTTGCTTGGATGCTGCCAAAATAGCAATGGCTATCGACGGTTCCATCTTCATGAAGAATGCCAGGCATTTCTGAGCCTTTTGGCAGAGACCTGTTAGTCCAACGTACATAGCTGCTTCAGTCAATGACACCAAGGTCTGGAATTCCTCCATGCAATCAGTGGTAATTTCTCCAGTGGCGTCTTTGGAAGAGGCTCCAGTGGCATCTTCGGAATATTTGGCCAAAAGAATGCCAGTGTCTGTATGGATATACTCCACAACTGCCTTGAGAACATCACTGGAGAATCCAATGGACACTACCGCATCAGTGGATTCCTTGAATTGACCATCCTTTTTGAACATGATCTTGAAGTAGTCGCTGCGGACTGAAAGGGCTATTCGATTGGCAGGAACCATCCCTCCGTCTGTGCCTTTGAGAGACACATCATGGAATTCTTCATCTGCCAATCGGGCAAAAGCTTGGGAAAGCGGCACCTCCTCCCTCATAGCGAGTGTCATCATGGCGGACATGGTTGCTTGCTGGATTAATGTTGTAAGAATGACTGAGTGGTCTTGCAGTTGACGTGTGGAAAATGGGAAATGTCACTCGATCGAGGGCAATGCGGGAATCCAGCGATCAATCGTGTTGGCCCCCACCCCCAACTTTAGTACTGGCCCCCCTTGATCTCATCACCAACCTAGTTAGACTAGCTAGCGCACAGCTGCTACTACTAGTACCGGTACCAGGTACCGAGTACCGGCGCTGGTGCATGTAGACTTTTCTTTATAGCTGCCACCCCCCCAAAAGCTAAGTTAGGACCCCTACAAGTAGTACCACCCCTACCTTATTAGCAGCTCTGGTATCGCGTGACAACTAAAATAACAATAAAAATGCATTTTTCGTTACAGTCGAGCTAGCTAGCTAGGTAGTCTGCTAGCTAGAGTACATGTAGCATGGCTACGAGCCACCGAGACTCGGACAAAGGCAGGCACTCTACCGGTACCGCGATGCAAGGCTGGTACAACGTCGCTACCGGTGTGGGCCACTCGAGACACAGGGGATGTACCGGTACCGGTGTTTTGTCGCGAGCTACAAGGCCAGCAAGAAAGCTAGCTAGAGAGTTTGAATACATGTTTCACATTGCTCCATTTGCTTTACATTCAAAGCTATAGCTCGGCTTCATACATACATAAATACACTGACTTCAAAATAACTGCACATCACAGTATGCCTGTCATGCCTCGTTGTTCCAAGCAACGAGAAATTAACTCTTGCCAAGGTTGTCGTTTGCTGCTCCTTGACTTTTTTGTTATTATGAATCCATTTTGCCAATCTTACCCACTTTGGCCAACACCGTATCGGCATCCAAATCCTCCAATGTATCAAACACACTCATGGTTTTGTTGGGTTCCGTTTCTCCTTTTACCGTCACTTGGGCATCGGCGGCCCATTCCATAATGGTCTCTTGGCTGACACCGGCCGCCACCAGGGCACGACCAAATTCATCGTCTTGAATGGACACACCCATCCAATTCATGCGTTCCGCCAATCCTTCCAGAGGCGATGCCGACGCGTGCACGCCATTGTTGCCTGTATTGGGTTTGGATTCAAGACCGAGTGGATTGTATTGTTTGAGGATGGTTTGTCGAATGGATCCTTCCGGTGCCAACGTCGGATCGGTGGCACCCAAGACTTGGCCCCGAAAATCGGCCCAACTCATTGCCGTCGATGGCCAGGATACCGAATACCATTGGATGCGTTCTCCGGGGTTGCAGTAGGCTAAAAATATATAGAGATAGATGGACGAGCACAATAGGAAAAGACGAAACAGAAGACACATGAAACAAAAAGACAAAGCATGAGAACCCAACCTTCCCTGAATTGGTCCTCCTGCATTTCTTTGTACAGATCTTTTAAAATTGCCAAGAAGGTACGTACCAGCTCTCATGGCCATGTAGAATGCATTCATGACATAGATATCACCGACTTTTCCACAATAGAATCCTCCTCCAAATTTGATAAAATCGACCCCCATTTCCAACTTGCGCCATCTTTTTTCTAGTTCGATTCCGTCAATATTTCCCAATTTCTCACAGGCATCTTGGGCATTGTACACTTTATTGTTATCAATGGCACTCTGCCAGGATTCTCCAAACATTTTTTCAAATTCTGCCTGCCCTTTGTCGGGGACATTGAGTTCATGTGGTTTTAGTTTGACCGCCTTGCTGGCAATGGCCCCGTAGTGGGTATCAATCAACATGTCCTTGTCAATGGTTTCGGCCAGAATCTCTCCCTGATCTTGAATCCGAATCCCTGCCTTTTTCAAGGCCGTTTCCACCACGGCTTCCACCTTGCCGGGTTTGCCCTTGCAAGCATGAGGTTTGATAAAGACAAAGGCACGGTTGGTCTGACCACCGAGTTGGACTTGGAGATTGTTGATTTGAGATTGCAATTTTTCCTGGGTAATATCCACAACGTAATAGACCAAAGCAGAACCAATGCCTGTCACTGCCACGGCAATAGCCATGAATAGGGGCAATAAGCTGTCAACAGCCAAGCTTAAGAGGCCACTATCGCAGGATTCCTCATCTACCGGGGCCTCTTTGCTCTTGACAAAGGGCAGTGCTTGCACATTGACTATTTGACAAGCCAGAAGCAGCCACAGAACTGTACTCAGAAAAGATGGTGGTGGGAGATTCAGCTTCATCATGTTGCTACGGTACCGATAGCAGCTAGACTTGCTTGGATAGATATTGTGGTGGGGTATCTTCTCGGCTGTTTGTGTAGCGGTATCGGTAGGATGGAGGTGTCAGAACAGACACTTGGGAAAAACGGAACAACTGCTGAAGATCGCACCTCAAGTGGATATCTTGCTGATGTCAGATAAGTGACTCCAACCGCGACACGCGAGGTGGGCAGTCCACTTATCGAAAAGGTAACTTTAATGCTTTTAGTGAGTTGTGTCTCTACTTACATGTACGGTACCAGGTACTGTACTATTAATAGCTCGTGTACAGTACTTTATATATTAAATTTTTTAAATAGTCTACATGTACTCTAGACTTCTGTCTTGGCTCCACCGTAATAAACTGGATGTCCCTCGTGTTGCCTTGCACCTTTCGGTAATACCGTCTCGATGCAGCATTGTGACTCCTTTGAGTCTTTCCAGACAACCAACCAATGACATCCAACCATTGACCATGACAAAGCATTGATGGATACGGTATGAGGCGGGGTGCTGTCGTTGGGTGTAGTATGCAACCTTTAGCTTCCGTAGCCTGTCTCTGGTCTCTCGTCGGCTCTCTCGTTGCTGTGGATAAGCAAAGAGCGGGTTTTGTCTCTCAGCCATCGAAGACTGAGCAACGAGCAACGGGGCACTGATTGCCACGATAGAGGTACTCTGCGTGTACCGGTACTGTGCAAAGCAATCTTTGCAATCTGCAACGGGCCATTGTTTAAGTAATTGAGGTAAAATGAAAACTATCTATTCATTTTAAGTGATTTCTTGTTTACCGCGCCTACCTGGTTTCCAAAGCTGTCTTCCCGAGGATCATTGTTGCTGCGCAGTGTTCTGTGCAGAAGAAGGGGTCTGCTGTCCTGATGCTGGCGACGTGCTACCGTACAACGTTAAAACGCCACAACAGTCTCGTTCAGCATGGAAAAGCTATGGAACTTACACTTCCTTGATGCCTCCGATTTCCTCTCCACTCTTCTGCCCAGCTTAGCCCCACAATCAACATCAAGTTCAAAGATGAAAGATTCCGAGGACAAGATAGAACACGGGCCATCAGAGCTACCACCAACAGAAGATGACCCGGATTCTGCTTCGTCGGTTGCCCCGAACGATGAGAGCAACCGCGAAAAGCGTCTTGTCGCATTGACCACCGAATCATTGGTCATACTAGACGCTGTAAGACTGAGCAGCAACAGCAACAACAGCGGCCAAAGAGTCAAGTCACCGGGTGCTATCAGTGCAGGGATTGCTGAAATAGTTCGTGAAAACGATCATGATCAGCTAATGACAAATGAATTGCCACCATCAGCAGTGACAGCAGCAAACGGCAGTGAAGCGTTACGTAAAACAGAACGTCGTACACCAGATTCGATCATTCCAAATCACACCGAAACGACTGACACTCCAAGCCCAACCGTGCTTCGAGAGCAAAACAATCGAAGACCCACAGTGGCAGTTGGTGCATTTGCCATTGCTGGCATTGGCGTATCTCCTGGTATCGAAGAAGATTGGATGGACAATTCCAACGAAGAGTTGAGCCCTCCTTGTGAATTGATTGATCCAGTCATTGACGGAGCAGTCCTAGTGGACGATGAAACAGACAACATGGAACAAGGAAGAGCCCAGACAAGACGGAGACACATGGAAGTGATTGAAGGAACCATCATGCCAGCCAACCAGCAGCCAAGAAACACCCGTTCCACTGTGGGTTTGGCCATCTTGTGCATTACGGCTCTAGTTGTCTTCCTTGCTGTTTACCTGTCTTCCTCCTCTTCTGGCTCCCATGGAAGCAACTTTCTCAATCAGACGTCCCGAACCACCGAGGATGATCCTGTGACTCCAACCATGTATCCACCGTTTCAGGATGGTCTCCCTCCAAACACTCTGAAAGCATTCCAGAATACATCTACGCCGGAATACCTTGCTAATGCCTGGATGCAGAATGACCCACATCTAAACAGCTACAGTCTCAAGCGACAACTCCAAAGATATGACTTGGCATGGTGGTACTACATCACCAATGGTGACAACTGGTACAGAAACGATCACTGGCTCAGTTATGAAGTACACGAATGTGACTGGTTCACTCAGGCTCACAATGACAGTATTCTCCACTACGATCATTATCCTGTTTGTGATGAGAATAACACCATCCAGATTCTCAACCTGAACTCCAACAATCTGCAGGGAACACTGCCTGTGATCAACAAATTCCTCCCAAAGTTGCTAACGTTGGACATTGGAAGCAATGCCCTCCATGGACGAGCACCAGCAGGACCAGCTGCAACAGCCAACTTGTTGGAAGTCTTTATTGTATCCAACAACCACTTTGAAGGGCAACTGGTGTCCACTGGCTTTAAAACATTTGGGTTGAGGGTAGCCAAATTGGATGGCAATGACCTTATTGGTTACTTGAATCCCCTCTTTGCCCTCTTACCCAGGCTTGAGATTCTTCATCTTTCTGGTAATCTCTATGGTGGTGGCCTACCAAACACAATTGATGGCAGCACAAGCCTCACCAGCTATAAAGCAGCCGACAATCTGTACGCAGGAACCATCCCAGCGGCCTTTGGGAGAATTCCCGGTCTGGAAACTATTGATGTTCATGGCAATCCAGGCTTGACTGGCCAAATACCATCAGAGATTGGTGAGCTGTCAAGTTTGGCCTTTTTGGATTTTACTGGTACAAACGTTTCTGGGCCAGTTCCTGACAAGCTTTGCGAGAGAGTGCAACATGGTTTGATGGAGATTCGGGCCAACTGCAGTTTGGTAGAGTGCTGTTCTTGATATGTTTCCCAACTTGGCTCTGTTCATTTATCCCACCGGTAATTTTATGGGACGCTGGGGGCATGGCCTGCAACGCAACTTCACTAAATAGAAAAGGGGTTTTAGAGCAGCGAACTTATCTACGGAAGCCGGCGAGGGGCCAGGCTTGGGCAAAAGAAGAGGTGGAATTCGAGACAAGGTTGGACGGGGGCCGATGGGCTCATGCTTTCTATAGGAGGCTTTTGCCTCTCAAAGCGTTTAATCATCATTACTTGGTCTACGTACATGGGCGATGGAACTCCTTCGTGATGCCACGGAGGACAGCCTGACTCTTCTTCAATGAAGCAGCGGCTTGGTTTTCTGGAAAGGCAATCGTGCGTTTGTCAACGGGCGAGTCACGATGTCAGACCTGGCGAGGGCTGGCATTCTTGTCCATTCGAGCGCCCGTTGGCTGAAACGTGAGTTACGCTGTATCGAGGGGCGACGACCAGAACAAGAGTCCTCCTTCAAGCCATATCTCGGCCCAAGGCACCGACTTCCCTGCAGCGGTAGCTAGCGGCTAAAGAATCGTTGCTGACTAACGTGGCAGTTCGGTCCTCGTGACGATAGGCAAGGAGACTCGCCCTCGTTGCTCCTCCATTAAAACATTCTCTTCACGTGGCAAGTATCTTTGATACAAGACAGTGTGACAGTGTTATGGCGATTGAGGGGATCAAACTCGTTTTCCGCCAGGCCTATTGTTGCCCCCGCGAAAAAATCTTTTCGAAGGTGGTCTCAATAGGCAACATTTTGGTTGGAAGGTTCCAACCTATCCTGGGGTTGAAGCTTTCTCAAAGGACCTCACAGTTGCCACTCTGCCGGTCGCAACATTCCGTACAGCACTCACAGGCCATGAAGGGGACACCAGTGTCAGGATCTGCCGTGCAGTCGGCTGCTATTGATGCCATCTGAGAACCTAGTTGTCCTCCACAGACATCCGAGGGAAGATCACCAGAGAAAAGATTCCCGTTGACTCTTAGATTTGACAACAGCTCTAGAGAGAGCGAAAACAGCTCATTCGGAAGAGTGCCATGAAGTCGGTTGTTGGCAACAGCCAGGGTGCCCAGATTCGTCAACAAACCAACCAATGTGCTAATGGTCCCTGAAAAATGACAGTCACCAATCACAAGGTCATTCAGACTGGATGCTGCATACAGCTCTTCCGGTATTGTGCCTGACAGCCCTGAATGGTCAAGACGAAGGTACTCAAGAGATGCTGCTTGGCCAATTTCGGATGGTAGGGAACCTTGTATGTCAGTGTGTCCCAGGTGCAGCTGGCGCAAATTGGACAGGCTTCCTGTCAAAGGAGAAAGGTTGCCTGAGATCTAAGGGCGCAGAAAATCAACTGTGAGGTTGGTTCCTTTGCTTCAAAGAGAGCGCACAGAGAAAGAAATCAAAGGAACCTACACCATTTTGAAACAGTGAGAGTGCAGTCAACTGGGCAAGCCCAAATAAATCATCTGGCAGGGTCCCTGTAAGAAGATTCTGGTACAAAAACAGTTCGTCTCCACTGAACAAACCAACGCCCTTATGAATGGTTCCGGTCAGAAGATTTGATCCCACATAGAGGGCTTCCACTGAAAACAAAACCTCATTTGGTATTGTTCCTGAGAGTAGGTTTCCCGACAAACTCAAACCTTCCAAGTCAGGAAGACTTAGCATTGAAGTGGGAATGCTGCCGGACAGGTCGTTCTTAACCAGACTCAGTGATGTCAGTTTGGTTAGCATGGCCAGTTCTGTTGGGATCTGGCCATTGACACCATTACCCGCTGACAGTTTGGGAAAGATGTGATGTGTAAGAGAGGACAGGCAGAACTTTGGGAACCTTTATTGCCAAATCCTTTTCAAACTTACGCAGGTACAGCCTTGTTGCCTTCCCATCAACACATTGTGTACCAATCCAAAAGCACTCGGTAGTGCCTGTCAACCATCTTGTTCCCCGCCTTTCATTGCTGTTGCCATATGGACTCAAATAGTAGCAGAGGTCCGGTTGGCCAGGTGTGGGTGCACCACAGGTTAACCATGGTTGTTTTGAAAACGTCTGGAAATAGAAGAGAACGAGCACAAACCTCTGAATAAGGTTGTCAGCATCAGGCAGAAGCTGAAGTGGATCATCATGTAATATCCATTGCAAGGCTCTGTTTCGGTGGACCGATGTTTCGGCTTCGTCTTGATCGAAATAGCCCACTCCAAGGATGGTCTCAAGATGGTCCCGAAAGTCAGTCCTCAATGTGTGGCTGAAGGATGTTGAAAGGCTGTCTGCATCCGGCGACGATCCCTTCCCACAGACCCCACTGCCACGACAACCCACTCCAATGACCAATATTACTATGACCAGCTGTAGTACCAGTAAGCAAGCAGATGCAACGAGCTTTTGCCGGAAAAAACCATCGGGATTCTCCCTAGCACTTGCGGGCCTGGCCACCTGCAACTCTGACACCTCCGGTACCGGACTTGCCACCGCAATATCATTCGTTTCATGGACGACCGGATCATTGATGGGCATGGGTTGCTGATGCTCGCGTCGGGGAAAAGGGCCATTGCAACTGTGAGCTCCCGGGATGCCCACTCTCTATGAATCCCTATCGACTCGGAAAGCCCTGGTAGTGGCTCTGGGATTGGCATGGATGCAAAGAATTCATTTGGTCTATCTAGACTGACGAAACCCACGGAATTCGGAGCTTCCTCTTGGCGGATGCCACAACCTGCGTTTGGTTCTTTGGCCTCTTCTACATCTCTCTCCATCAGATGGACAGCACCGCTGGCAATAAGAAGTTCCTTCTCTTGGTTGCAGTTGGGGGTCATGCTACCGGTATTAGTGAAGGTATTCTTCGGGTACCATTCGTCATCTTTCGAGTTGCCGCCAATGGGTATTTCATTCGCGAGAATCGCCCTTTTGGCCATTGTCTCTGCTTCGTCCAATGGCGGCAAATGGGTGGTCGTACATTGGACGTCTTCTTCCCGAGCAACACAGCAAGGCTTCCCACTATCAGCCGCTTTTGCAGGCGCCTCCACGTTTTCCACTTGCTCTTCCTTCATCCTTGTAGCATGCAGCCTATGATAGCGGTACAATGATATGTTAGTTGTGCTGAAAATGTTACTGCAGTTGGAGCGGACGGACTACCAGAAGTCTATGTTTGGAAGGAAGTGGAGAGGTTTGCGATTGTCTGGATCAAGATTACGGTGGGCTGGAAAAAGTCCAGTGACTGGATCGTTGAAGGTGCTCCAATAGGGACGCGCGTGGCGTTCAAGCCTCCCATAACTCTTCCCATTTTAAAAGTTCTCTGGAAAGACATTTACATTGTGCAGATAACCAATAAATCTCTCACCTACCAGTCCTTGTGCATTTTCTGGAGAACAGTGATTCCACAGACGAAAATTCACATCAGGGGCATGCAGTACTGGAGTTGCTACAGTCCAATGAGACAAGGTTTCTGTGCCAAGGTAGCTGCCAAGGTCCATGTAGTACTCCGAATGAAGAAGAGCGGTAGTTGCGGTAACATAATTTTGCTAGCAACTTGTTTTTGGAAAATGTTTTGCCACACCTACCTGAACTCCAAAGCTAGATCTTCTTCTTAGTTTCCAATGAATAGGCTCTTTCGTGTGGCCACGTTCACTGCATTCGTGCTTCCGAACCCCACTTACTTATTACTTATTACTTCGAGTTGACTACATGTATTTCTTGGTGGGAAGTCAAGAATTATTGTCTTGCCTCCAGTAGAGGCTGAGACGATCGCTTCTATCTTTTTTTTTAAAAACTAAATCATCAAAATCGGCGGGACTCATTTCTCAGTCCCGGAACTAAATTTGAATATTTTAAAATGTTAAAACGAAATTTGCTAGCTTTTGTTGCACGGCTGCACCTTTGCTGTTTCTTGTGAGTGGTAGGGACGGTACATGAAAGAGGTCGGTGGTTCGATAGATCTACCTGGTACGAGATACCCTACGACCCTACGATATCTAGTTCTGCGGTCTGCGGAAGATGGGCGAAACACCAAGACCCCAAACCTCAAACACCAAGTCGTAACCATCACCACGTTAGGGGCACAGCTGGGGCAGTTGGCAGTTGGCATCTCAAACAATAATTATTATTTTGCTGTACTAGTAGTCTACTACATCATGAGAAACCAGAAACCAGTGATAATAAAGGTAAAGCCACCCACACAATTCTACCACCCCAAGTCAACTGGTAGCCATCAATCCCATATCCCATCCTGCGGTACATCACTAATGCGCTTCATCGCAAGAGGCGTTGTTTCAGCAGCTGTTTCAGCAGGATTCAGCTGGATCAAAGGAAAACACTGGAGGTACGAGTAGACTGCTTTGCTTATGGCTTATGGCCATGCTTTCGACTTATGTAGCTCTTATGTAATGTTCCAAGTTCCAAGCAAGACTGGCTGTAAACTGGCTAAACGAGCCATGCGGCTTCTTTGTTAGTTTCTGAGTTTCTGGAATGTCTGGGGGCCAGACGTCAAGGCACGCTAAAATTGTAGCAAGGTTCAGGCCAACATAGCTACAAATGCAAGGTTCAGGCCAACAGGTAGGCAGCTAGTTAGCTAGAAGATATTTCCGTGAGAGCTACATGTAGCTGGTTGCATACGAAGGGGTTCAGAGTATAGAGAAGTTATCTACAGAAGCCGGCGAGGGGACAGGCTTAGGCAAAGCAGAGGCGCATTAGATCTACTGCTTCAGGCATATTCTAGTCTTCCTGTTGCAGCATTCTGTGCAGCACTGGCAGGCCATGGCTGGTACTCCGTTATTCTCAGCATGATCGGGGGTGCAGTCTGCCACCACGGTTGCAGAAAATTTTGTCATTTTGACGCATATCTCGTTTGGAAAGGTCCCTGTCAGGTTGTTTCCGTTCACTCGAAGCACAGAAAGGTCACTTGCTACAGAAGAAAGCTCTGTTGGGATGTGACCATGAAAGTTGTTGTTTGCAAGGCTCAGAACCTCAAGATGGGGACCAATTTGTTTGCTGATTGTCCCTGTGAAACTACATCCATCCAGCATCAATACGGAAAGATGAGGAACCCCGACAAAGAGTGTTTCGGGGATAGTGCCTTGTAGCTGTTGGTTCTGTGACAATTCCAAAATCGTCAGAGATTTCATTCGGCCAACTTCGGAGGGAAGGGTTCCAGATAGCTGCATACTATCAAGGTACAATCCTTTCATGTTGACAAGGTTACCAATCAAGGTGGGGATTGTCCCAGAAATCTTCCAAAACAGAACAAGCAACAATGTGAGTGAGAGCCATTCCTAAAGATACAGTTTGGTTGCTGCAGTACAATCAGTCCATACCTTGTTATGATCCAACACCAACGCTTCCAATCGTCCCAAGTCAAATAGTTCAGTGGGGAGGGTCCCATGTAGCTGATTATAACTGAGCAGCAGAAGCGTGCCAGGGTACATGCCTACCTCAGTAGGAAGGGATCCAGACAACCTGTTGGATCTCAATCGCAGCTGTGTAAGTTTCTGGAGCTTGTGAAAGAGACTACCTGGAATTGTCCCTGTGAGACCATTGTGATCGATATAGATTCTTTCAAGTGCAGCAGGAAGAAAGGTGCTGTTGGGAATAGGACCCGATAGTGCATTGTGCGAAAGAACCAATGTCTTCATCTGTGAGAGCATGGCCAACTCGGTGGGGATGTGACCGTTTATATTGTTCTTGCCTATGACAATTGAATCAGCAAGAGAATGGTCAGTGCTTTTCAATGCTGCTAGCTAGCTAGCTAGATTTGATGCGATGCAACAGTACTTACTGAACTCTAGTCCCTCCACCACTCCATCGACACACACAACACCTGCCCATTGGCATTCCGAAGTCCCTGATAACCATCTCATGGCAGGCGCCTCGGATTCCCCTGGAAATCCGGATCGCGAGAAATAGCACATTGTTCTTTCTTGGGATCCCTTTATTGGTGGCGCACAGTTTAACCAAGGCCCATTTTGGGATGTCTGGTAATAGAACAGAGCCAGTAAATATCGTTGCAATAGATTGCTTGCATCGGCATCCAACTGAAGTGGATCGTCGACTACGAGCCAATCCAGAGCCCGATTGTGCAATGCTACATCTTGAAACTCGTTGTGTTCACTGGTCTCAAAGTAGTAGTCGCCATCACCCATGGACTCTTCCAACTGTTTCCGGATGTTCCAGGCTCGGTAGTGGCTTGCCACGGGGTTGGTGCTACGACTAGCACAAACTACTCCAAACGAAACCGCAAGGATCACTACAAGACCCACCATGAAGATGACTCCATAGGCTTTGGCAGGGCTTGCTTTCGTTTTCTGTTTGTCTTCAACTGGAGTGGCAACTTGCATACCTTGTTCTATCAGTGTGGCCTCCGCCAATTCTTCTTCCGTTGGCGCATTGTTGGTGGTGGTCATGCAGTCCAGATCTATGGGAGAGGGTCCAGTTGTACTATCAGTCTCGCAATTGGTCGGACGGGGTGAAGCTTCAAGGTCTGTTTCCGCCATAATATAGAACGCACTAGTTACGGAATAGGCTCCTGGTAAGGAGGGTGTGGTTTGCATTCCAGGGCTCGTTGCTAACGGCAATGGCTCTGGAAGTGGGACTATTGCCATCACTGAGCATTCTTGATCGATATCACCGTTGTTTCCAATGGTGATACCCTCTTTCGGATCAGCCTTGCTTTGTGGGGATAACATATCCTTCAACAGCTCAATGCCGGCCGACTGCCGTGCTTCCTCCTCGTTCTGGCCAGGGGCATCCCCGGTCGCCTGATCCTTCACCTTGCTACTGTTCATTGTCGCCGATCTCTTCAGATTGTCTAGTCAACAACAAATGAGAGAGAGCGAAAGTCCGGGGTGTGTGGATTCGATTTAGCCGCAGCACCAGCTGGGCTCGGTGGGTCTTCTGGCCGGAAGTACCCGTCATGCCCGTCATCTACTAAAACCATTCAGATCGAGGATCCTGTTTGGAAGTTCAGAGGTGGGAGTTTTGCATGCGTCAGTCTCCGAGAATGACATAGGAACACGAAGGCTTCTTGTAGACAGTACTCGAGTACTTGTAAACAGAAACCATCGCATAAAGATTGCCAGAAAGCCAGAGCTCTTTCGAACAATCCGAATGTCTGAGGTATTTAAGACTCCTCTGCCCTGGCCCAAAGCAGCTTTGAGAGAATTCGAAGTCCGAGAACAGCTGAGCTGCAAGCTGCTCTGTGCAATGTGCAATCTCAACATAAAAGTGCCAAACAGGCTGTTCACTAGTACTGTTTACTGGATCTCTATTAATACTGTACATGACATTGTTGTGGTTTTTTACATGTAGTCTTTATTCTTTCCTAACCTTAATAAAATCATCCACTATTTATTTAAGAAATCAAGAATGAATTTCAAGGAGCTTGCAGAATTAACATATGTGACTCAAGTTCTGGGGAGCTTTGTGCGCGCACTGATGTGTTTTATGCAAGAACCCGAAGCCTTCTTCTTTGCTGAAGAAGCCTTCTTGCCGGAAGTGACTGGCTCACTATTTAAAATAATAATCCTCAAACGTGGCGTAAGATTCATCTGGTGTCTTCGGTGTTACGGAGATGTTAAGGGAAACCCTGGTTACAAGAAAGCAACTCTGTGCCAAAGATTGCTTTTTGCCATCTTCGGCTCCAATGACGACGACTGAGTCGAGTCAGTCTTCCAGCCCGCCTATCGCTTTGTTCCTTTGATCCATGTGTGTGTGTGTGTGTGTGTTGTACTAGTACTGTAGCATTGCATCCAAATGCCATCCTCAGTGGCACTTCGGTTCAATGCTGTAGCGCTTCTTCTTGCGCTGCTAAATACAGCATCCATCGTTGTGAATGCTCTGTCTTCGCCCAAGGCAATTCGGCGGCAACCCATTGGCCGTATCACGTCCCTGGATCGATCCAAACTAGATTCCACCACGGACACCAAGTTTTATCGAAATCCCAACCTGGTGACGCACACGGACGATACCTTTATCCAACGACTAGAAGATGTCTACCGAGAACATCTTCCCTCTGAAAATGGCGTGATTTTGGATATCATGTCCTCTCATGTATCACATCTGCCCTCGGATGTGCCCTTGCAACGAGTGGACGTGCACGGGATGAATGCGCAAGAATTGGAGCGGAACCCAGCTCGAAACGCTACGGGAGGCAACCTCTATGTACGAGATCTCAACGACAATCCCAGTTTTGTCGGGCTCATCGATGACAACCAAGAATACGATGCGGTTCTCTGCTGCGTCGGTGTGCAATACTTGGAAGAACCGGAAGCCGTCTTTGCCGAAGTGGGCCGTATCCTCAAACCCGACACGGGCGTACTGATTGTCAGTTTTACCAATCGTTTCTTTTACCAAAAGGCACTACAGGGGTGGATTGATCGAGGCATGCAGGAACGGGCGCGTCTGGTACAAGACTATTCGAGAGCGGCCGGTGGATTTGATTCAGTTCAGGTCGTGGGCGATGGTACCAGTGTGTGGAACCAACTGGCGAGTCTTGGTGGATTTGTGGGAGATCCTTTTGTGGCCGTTGTGGCAAAACGGAACAACGAGCCTTAGGTATCAAGAACTAGCTATCGAGAGATGACATATCAATGCATGGTTCGATCCATCGAGCCTTCACGACTTCCGAGTGAGTCTGCCTCCCACGAATTGTTAGAGAAGCTGTGGATGTTGCAAAAAGAGCCCCCCGGCAAACGTCGGCTAAAAGTGGCCTGCCTGATGTGGCTCTTGAGGTGCCATACCGGTAGTCACCTCTACTAGAATGCGACAGAAAGCTGCATTGAAGTTACATGTTAGAACCTAGCTAGCCAGAGACAGCCCGACTGCAAGCTGAACCGTCTTCCAAGATGGCCTATTACTTTTTGCTCTTGCCCGTGCTGCTACTGCTGCCATAAGAGAAATCACCCAAGGCTCCTTTCAGATCATCTGCTTGAACAGTGGGACTACTGGGCTTATTGCTACTACTGGAGGATGCACTGGCTGCATTCTTCCTTTCTTGCGCCGCTTTCTTTCGAGCCTTGGCGCCAGGTTCGGACTCTCCGTATGCGTTTGCCGGCTGGGAAACTGCCACTGAAGAAGCTGTTACCAGTAGTCCGGCCTGCTGTAAGACAAAGGCGCGGCGGCTGCTGCTTTCTTGTGGCGTTGTAGTAATAGGAAGAGACCAGCCATGGCCAAATGACAGGATGCCAAAAGCAACGGCAAGGGAAAGCAATAGATGACACAACTGACTCCTCATGGTGCTGTGTTTGATGTCCCTTTACGGTATCGATAGAGTAGCCAAGCGACAGTCTGCCATGGTGGCTCTTGAAAAAGTTTGGGTGAAGTGCCATCACTGAGTCGAGTCGAGTCCACTGACGTCATTGCCGTATCTTTTGCAAAGATCTTCTATCCAAAGCACCCACCGGTACAGCACTCTCTCACACACACTAGATCCATGCATGCGACGATGCTCGAAGAAAGACCGACGCTACTCTATCTAGCTAGCTAGCTACGGTAGCTAAAGCAAAGCCATTCGAAGAGTCTAGTCAAATATAATCCCGCCATGGCTCCTCCTGAGTATTCCCAAACCAAAGCTCCAACACCTACTAGTAACATCTTGTTGTTGGATCGAAAGGATATCTGGGTCAACAACATCTTTTCGTTCCTAGGAATAGGGCATTATGCCTTCGTTGGTAGTGTCAACAAACAACTCAACCAGCTTTACAAGGAATTCTGTGATTCCATCCAAGATCCCCCCGAGGTGCGAGATGGATCCTACCAAGATTGTGCAAAGCGGTTGTCTGCCAGCACAGACACGTATTATCGTGCGGCATTCGACAACTTGTCCTGTGCGGAATTCTGGCTCTGTGACAGTCATAACAATAACGATTCCAGCCGCAAAACTACTACTACAACTCCAAAGCGCAACGATGTTTGTGAAGCAATCGCCAAGGTTGGGAATCTGTCGGTTCTTCAATGGGCACGAGAAAAGGGATTTCCTTGGTGTTATGGGACTTGTGCTATAGCTGCTCGGCGGGGCCATTTTGAATTGCTAAAGTGGGCCCATGAGAATGGATGCCCGAGACATGCCAGAACCTGCACAATGGCTGCGGAAGCTGGACACTTGGAAATTCTAAAATGGGTACATGAGAATGGATGTCCCTGGAATGAGTGGACATGCACAGCGGCAGCAAAGAATGGTCACTTTGAAATTCTCCAATGGGTGCGACTAGATGGGTGCCCTTGGGATCAGGGTACGTGCACGGGTGCTGCCGAAAATGGACATTTGGAAATGCTAAAGTGGGCTCGTGAGAATGGATGTCCATGGAGTACAACAACCTCTTGGGCAGCCGCTAAAGAAGGTCACTTTGAGGTACTGAAATGGGCCAGGGAGAATGGATGCCCCTGGGATGATTCCGTGTGCAATGCGGCTGCAGGAGCTGGTCATTTTGAAATTATGAAATGGGCCCATGAGCATGGATGTCCATGGGGTGAATCCACATCCTCCATTGCTGCTGGGAATGGTCATTTTGAAATTCTAAAGTGGGCTCTGGAGCATGGATGCCCCCGAGATGAATTAACCTGTTCGAATGCCGCCAGAGGTGGTCAATTGGAGATTCTGCAATGGCTGCACGAGAATGGGTTTCCGTGGCATGCAAACACATGTTCCTATGCTGCTGGAAGTGGCCATTTACACGTTTTAAAATGGGCCCACGCAAATGGGTGCCCATGGGATGCCAGAACATGTGCTGCAGCTGCTTTGAGTGGACATTTGGAGGTACTACAATGGGCTCGTGAAAATGGTTGCCCGTGGGATAGAAATACATGCAAGAAAGCTGCAGAGCGGGGCCATGTGGAAATCCTAAAGTGGGCTCAAGAGAATGGATGCCCAGATTAGATAAACGTCTTGGAATAGTAAGATTGCCGTTGCGAGTTTACTCTTTTTCTTTTTTGATCAACATGGGTGTTGCTGCTATCGTTCATGCTACCCTACAATGATACTCGAGAGGAACTGCTGGAGGTTTTTTGTCCTTTGGGGTTTCGTATTTAATTTTAAAATACAGAATCCATACCACGCGTACAGGATGCGCTGAAGCAATGATCCTTGCTTCGTGCTGTATCAGCATGCATGTAACAAAGCGAACCCACGGGCGATGAGGAGGATAGTAGGACGGTGTCCCGACTTGGACGGTTTCCCGATAAGAAGAGGCTTGGACGGTCGGATCGGCGAAGGTTGGCCCTCTTTGGCAGCACGTCGATCTGGTTGGCCTCACAATACGTGGTTGTCGGAACTGACAAGTGGCCCAAGCACCCCCAAGAGAGCTGCACTTTTTGACAGTATAGGTGCCAACACCGATCGATCCCCCCCACCCCCATCATCTTTTAAGAATGTCACGTATGGCGTTGCTTCTTTCGTCATTCTTCACCCGCATCACCACCAAAGTGACCAATCAAGTTGTGGAGTGCGGATTGCATCTCCTCGACGGTGTTCCCCAGCTCGTTGGATACGTCCCGCGCCGTTGGCAAGGCACTCTGGGCTCCGGGTCCACCCAATTTCTTCCCCGCCACCCAGGCTCCAAGATGGAGTGCGAATTGTGGTGGATCATCGGGACCAAGTAGTATTCGGGACAGTAAATATCCGCCGATAAAGGCATCCCCGGCCCCGGTCGTGTCGACAATGTCCGCGTTCTGGAGGACGCCGACGGATTCGACGGTCAATCGGGCCAAACCGTGTGTTGTGCCACCAACAATAGAACATGGAACTTGCATGGATATTGAATTGGGAGTAGCGACATTGTCCGCCATGAGCTCCATTTTCTGTGCAGTTTGTGTTTCGACCAGTTCTTGGGCCGTCACGCGGATGGCACCAAGGTCTCCCTTGGTGATGACGACTTGCTTGTGCAGTTGTTGTGTTCCATGCCAACACAGATAGGACAAGGACGGCTGAATGGCACTGGTAATGATCGCTGGGTCCAGATTGGCTGTTTCTGGCTTGAGACCGTCCAGTGTTTGTTGTCGTTGTGTGATTGTTGTGGAGAATTCCTGGTGTTTGCGTTGAAAAAAGTCGTTCATTTGTGTGGCATTCAAAAAGAGAATGGATGCCAGCTCCATCATTTTGTCTTGCGCTGGCAGTTGGCGATCCTTTTCGGGGTCGACCGATACGGGAATGTGTCGTCGCGTAGCTTCTTGTGCCAACGCCAGTGCCAAATCGGGGTTGCGTCCATCGGTATGAAAATGAACCACATTGCCCTCCCAAATATTGTCACTGTCAATGTCGTCCATTGGAACGTTGCCACAGGTTCCCGGCGTAAAGAGACACGTGCGAGTAGGCGACGACGACGATACGATGGTGGTGGTAAAACTGGTGGTGGAGTGAGCTTCTTGTCGCAAGAGGGAGAGATCCACTCCGGCACATGTCAAGTCTTCAACCAGCCGAGTGGCAACTGCGTCGTCTCCCACTTGTGCCAAGAGTTTGATCTTGACATTACTACTACTAGTAGCAAAGGGCGCATCTTTGAGGAGTGCCATGGCCGTGGCCACATTTCCACCGTTGCCTCCACCCACTTCATGATACGCTCGTGTCTTGATTTTGGAATCGGGTAACGGGTAGGAATCTACCGTCAATAGACGATCCAGACAACAAGCTCCCAATATCAAAATTATCTTCTCTTCCTCGTTCCCATTCATATCATCCTGCATTCTTATTAGCTCTATAGGTCTAGCTAGCTAGCAATTCGGAGAATACATGTATGCATAGATAAAAGCCAAAGGTTGGGTATTTTCTTCATGCTGTTACGTTCTGTTTGCCGCTGGCAGACCGAGGTTCATGTTCCGCGAAAAAATGACTGACGTCATCGCGTACCGGTATCTTTTGGATCTTTGGCTGACACCACCACAAACCAAGAAATTTTTCGTTTTCTCCAGAAACCGTTTGTCTTGCAGAAGCTTTCTCAGTTTATGCATACATGGAGGGCAAAAGCGGTAGAAGGCAGTGATCTGATTGGCTAATCAACCTATGACATCAGCAAATGCGTCAGCAAAGATTCAAATATACTTAACGTACCGTTTATAAAGATTACAGAGCTAGTGTGCTACCAAATCGCGGATTTCTTCTTTCGCGAAAACCGAAAGAAGGATTCCATCGGGAATTCCATCGCGAAAAATCGACAATGACATGCTGCCGTTGCTTTTCAACTCGACAGTCATTAACTCGGCCAAAAAGCCAGTAGCAGCAGCAGCAAAAGAGGACCATGGAGCCACCAACAGCAGCTACCACTCACAATGGAGGAATGGGCTGCCAAAGTCAACAGAGGAACTCGCAACAGAAGAGAGCCTACCAACTGGCTACCAACAACAACAACAGATCCAAGAGAGCCAGAGAAGAAGGACCACAAACAACGCTGGGAGGAGAGGTAGCAGAAGTCTTTGATCCGTTGAAGAAGTGTGTCATCTGTAAGGCCAGACATCTTGGTCTCAGAATCCCAAAAAGATCACACCACGTTCTCTGTATTAAGAATACAGTAACAAGAGGAAGAGGAGATTTGAATGAGCTGACAATGGAAACTATCAGAGAGAGCAGAAGACTCACAAGGCACTTCAGTGCTCCTCTTCCACTGAATGAGAGAGGAAGCTGGAAGCACTCAACAAGAGAGAATGGAGATGCCTTCTTCGCTGCTAGAACGAACACAGCCAAACCAAACCAGAGCCGGCAACAGAAGACATCCACAACCAAGACAACTCCAGTAGCTCTTTGTCAAAAGGTAACCACTCTTGTAAAGGATTCTGCCTTTGTGAAACAGCACAAGACCAAAGGAGCACCACTGGCAATGCTAGCGATGGCACAAGTAGTGTCAGAATCCATTGTTCGGCCCAAGAACCAGGACGTATTCAGACAACACTTTGAAGGACTCACCATGACAGTTCCATCCACAGAGGAGCAATTCAAGTCTCCACACTATCACTCTATTGTTGGCCAGAAACTACTCCTGGTGGACTGGAATCGATGTGGAATTACAGTCCCTTGTCCCGATGGAAGATGCTCTGGTCAACTCAAGAATGCAAGGCATAACTGGTCAAAGAACAAGACCTTGTTCCCTATCTTGGCATCACTGGAGCTCCATCTTGGTGTATTGTCATGTCAATGGTCTGTGACTGTTGCAAGAGAAGGTTTGATGCCAACAGTGCGAAGTCTTGTGCACAATCCCACAGCATGCTGCTCTCCTCTATCCTGTGGAGTCAAAGTATGCCCTTCCAAACAAGGCATGTCACCTGGACAGGACGCCACTGAGACTTTCGAATCCATCATGTTGACCTATGCAAATGGAGAAACTCTGCAGCCGGCTCATCTACAATGCAATCAACAGAGACTTCATTAGGTCCATGACATCATACTTATCCTATTGGGAGGGAAGTGACACTGATCCACATCCCTTTCTTCAAAAGGATGACACTTACATAAGACAGTTTCCTCCTCTTGGTGACACCATCCGTGATATCTATGATGCTGCCTGTGCTTCAAACAGGAATCCATGGAGGATCAGTGACAACCAAAGGCACACAAGAGAGATTCAAAGTGTCAAGTGCAACAAAGGAATCTTCTGTCAAGACCATACCTTTCAGGTGGTGAAGAACTACTCCAAGAGTCTTGGTGCTGTGCTGTTTGGGATCTGCCACTGAAACAGGAGAGATTGCCTGTGCTGTTCTTGTTCCCACCACCAAGACAATCCATTCTCCCATGCGCCATGCAGCTAGCAAGGAGGAGCCACTTCAACCCTGCTGCCATGTACAGCGACACTTGGCCCAACAAGGATGACTACTCCTGGGAGATACTCTTTCCAGAATCGAGGGAAGGCTAGGCCTGTTTCATTATGAGAAGAGGATTCTGTCAACTTTGAGGAAAGGACACATTGATTACTCTCAAGCACTGACGGACCTCTTGGATTGCCTGTATGTGTACTCACCAGATGACTATGAGAAACTTCTCCATGCATGAAACATGGCCTCTTGTCCTCCAATGGCAAGCACTACTCCATGGCAGAGATCTCCGATATGCAAGCTTCCAAGGTCTTCAGAGCTAGGTACTCCAAATATCTAAGGAAGAAGATGAGAGAACCAGAGACCATGAGACAGAAGTTGCAGCAGTGGTTCTGCAGATACAAGGTGACTGCCAGTGATGGTAGCCAGCCGGACAGGGTCGACTGGATCCAATGAAGAACTTTACCTTGTTCACTTCTGATACCAAACCAGCAGTAGAGAACTGTGTTGACAAAGCCATTCACTTGGCTGATCCACTGCCTTTGGAAGACATGTATGACACCATCCTACCATCACCCAATTCCAAGCACAGCCTCCCAGAGTATCTGTCAAAGAGAGGAGAATCAAAACTGGAAGCATTCCATGACAAGTTTGCCCATTTTGCCAATAGTGGTATGAGGAGGTCTCTTGCTGATGCACTCAACCTTGCTGGAACAGCCAGATACAACCTCAACATTCGACACAAGAGAGCCTTCTGTCAAGAATCAGTCTGGAAGAAAGGAGGTCAATTCCAGCTGGATGGGAAAAGGTTGTTCCATACTGGAACCATTCAGAGTTGGCTTACCTCAAGACATGCAGGGCTGTTGTCTATGACCATTTCCAATGCAGAGCCATTGCCACAGGATAATGGAGAGAGGTTCTTTTCAGAGTTCATTGTTGCATTCAAACCACAGCGGCAGAAGTATGCACCAAATGATTGTTGTTGTGTGTGGCTTGTACAGATAAACAGCCACCAGTAGAAGCACCAACAGTCCAGCATCGTGGACCACCAACAGTACAAACACCGATGGAAACAGAGGCCATTGCACCACCACCGCCGCCGCCGCCACCGCCGCCACCACCACCACCACCACCACCACCACCACCACCACCCACCACCACACCAGTCCAAGCAGCTGTGGCACAAACAACAAACACTTACATGAGTAACATGCTTCAATTTCAACAACAAACAGATTCAAATGATGCAATCGCCATGCAAATGGGCAATTCCAACAATACTGCCATCTCCTTTCAGCCACCTCCACCGAATGGCTGCTGTCACAGATACTGCCAGTGGTTGACACTAACAGGAGAGGAAGACCACCCATGATGCCACCTGTCAAACTCGATTGAATGGATACCTGACATAAGAACAGCAATAAATATTTAGGTACATCAATTTCATTTCTTATGTAGCTATTAGCTAACTTACATTACAGTTCCACAATGTACAGCAAAGTGTGATTGCAAGAATCCGTAGTGGTCAAGGCTTTCAATGCATTCATCAACAAAAGTCTCGCACATCAAAGTCAAAATCTTGAAGGAAATGTTGCTGTTGTAGTCATACCAGTGGCAACAATACCCATGCCAAGCATCCATAACAATCTGTCCTTGCTTGGAGTAGAAGTCATAGCTCTTGGCAATAGTTTCCCTCACTAACCAATAGATGCACTCAATGAAGATGTCCTTCCTTTGGCATGCTTCTGGCCCATCCAGCATTCCAGAAAGGGTGTAGAGAACATGGTGGTACCATTTCGGACTCTTCTGAAGACCCCACTCAAACATGTAATCCATGATGCTTGTCATGTCTGGAGGAAGAGGCTTGCATCCTCCTTGGTATATCAACTCCTCAAGATCCGGCACTTCATTTGTGGGCCAACAATGAAACTTCTGATAGTTGGTGAGGTGGGGCTCTTGTTCTTCCACAATGATGTACTTGCAAGTGAATCCATTCCTTGTGGCCCTCAGCTCATTCAATGAGTATCTGTTTACACTAAGCAGCCACTTTGAGAAGGAAGAAGTAGTTGCGATCCTCATTGTCGTGCTGTTTCGGTCTGAATTGGCGGGTTTCGTGTAGTGGCGACTTTCGTGTAGTGGCGAGTTTCGTGTGAGCTACTGTTGTTGCCAAGAGCCTTGCCCCTACCCACGTAGGCACTGACTTCAAGACAAAATAGCCGAGCAAGTTGTTGTTTTAGTTGTAGTTGTTGTTGTTGTATGGGTAGAGGAAGGAGCGTTGGTAGAGGAAGGAGCGTCCGTACAGGAAGGGTCGGTAGAGGAAGGAGCGTCCGTACAGCAAGGAGCGTCGGTAGTGGAAGGATAGAAGGACGACAATTAGTAGCATGCCATTGTCGCCATTTTGGATAACAACAACAACAACAACAACAACAACAGCAACAACAACAACAGCAACACGGACAACAACAGCAGCATTCTTACGGGTACCTTGTGGAGTAAGTATTCGAATTTATGGGAAGGTTTGGTGCGAGCGAAGGAAAGGGAAAGAGCCAGCCAGACAGTAGTCGTTGATTTGATTCAGAACGGATGGAGCCAATGTGAGACCACCGAGATGATGCTTTTTGTGACGTATTTATTGTTCTTCAGACATGATACATCGTTACTTGAGAGAGGGGAGATGACTGTTTTTGTCCGGTCATTTCCATCTCCCCACAGTTCTCTAAGTAAATTGGTGTCCTTGCGTCTGGAAGTTTGCCCTGCCTGCTCTCCAAGTGGGAATCGGGAACCTCAATCACTAACCCTCTCCCTTTTCTTTTTCTTTTCCCTCCCCCGCGCTGGTGCCTGACCCCCCCTAAATCTCAGGTCAAGTACTACCGGTAGCTAGCCAGGTACATGTAGGCGCGAGAGGTGCGAGCCGCAATGACTGTATCCAGGCAGCATTTTTCCGACGCAGATGTTCTAAGTTCTAATAGCTTCCATTCATTCTGTTGAGAACAGAATACATGAATACATGCATGTACTACCTTGGTGCCCAGACAATAGACAGACACCATTGCAACAATACTATTCTAACAAATGTCGTCGGAAGTCGAAGCAATAGCACCTCATGGTGCCTCCCCAAAAGATGGCGGACAGCACTTTTTGGAGGCCATAGGACCCGCGTATGCCCGTAACACGCAGTATTGTAAAGCCATTCTCTTGTCGTCCATTCCTCAAGGCCTCATCATGGCCTTGGTCGCTCTTGGCTTTTTCAATTGTTACCTGGTCATTGCCCAGCACACTCGGTTGAATCAGGATTTGCCGTGGGCGGACTCAAACTTCTCTGGAACGTCATCTTCCCCCAACACAAATTCCCCCGCAAAGTACCTAGTTTTCTCACCGAAGTCCGTGAGCTCGAAGCCCACGATATTCTCGTTGCAATTCCCATACTCATTTGCAGTGCTTTGTCCTTGGGCCTCGGAGCCAGTGTCGGACCCGAAGCGGCATTGGGAGCGGTCGGCTGTACGCTCGGATCCTTGGTAGTCGGTAGACGCTGGCGTCTCGGGTCCATTCGAGCCAATAGTGTTATTATCAACCATCAAGACGATGATCATGATGATGATCACTGGTTGGCCAAAGTGTTGCCCGATTTTAGTCAGGAAAGCAAAATGTGTGCCATGGATGGCATGTCGGCTGCCTTTGGAGCGCTATTTCCCTCGCAGTTCCTCGCTGGTCTCATGATACACGAATTGGGATCCGGGGTTTGGACCGAAGGAGACGTACAAGGTCTCTGGACGAAACACTTTATAGAGACTGTTGTTCGATCTGGTATTGCCAGTTCCACCGCATACATTGTCTTTACCGCCATTCAAAACGAAACACTCCTGGAACAAATACCTCTCCCCTTTGCCGCATACAATTTATTGCCCGAAATCATAACCGTCGATATGTTCTACTCCATTCTCTTGGGATTCTTTGCCGGTCTACTTGGTTTGGTCGGCTTTGTTTTTATGGCCATTTTTGGAGCTATCGGGGCCAAGGTTCATGACACCTTTGATGCTTTGGGAAACAAGGTCGGTCTCCAAGAAAACACACTCGGAATGCTCATGACACCCACTATTGGGGGGGCTATGCTTGGGCTTTTGTGCGTAGCAGTCCCACTCTGTATTGGGGATGGCGCCGATCAACTCGGTCCCATGATTTATCTCGCCGAAGAACTCGGTGTCGGCGCCATTGTTGCCGCAGGCGCTGTCAAGCTCGCTTGTGTTTCCATAAGCCTCGGGTTTGGCTTTGTCGGCGGGCCCATCTTTCCGTTCCTTTATGCGGGTGCTTGCCTTGGCATTGTTTGTCACATGGTGATTGATGACGTTCCTTCCATATTGGCCATTTCCTGTTGCATCGTTGCCGTGCCCTGTGCCTTTATCCCCGCTATTTTGTCAATGACCACGCTGGCATCTGTGATTCTGGCATTGGGCGGCGCGGCGACTTCACCAGTATTTCTGGCTTGTATGACGTCCTATAGTACCGTTTGTGGGATGGGGATTGTCCAAGATTTGATTGCCGCGGCAACACCACCACCAAGTGCAGTCAAGGACGAGAACGAGGAGCCCGCCACGGATGCTAACAGTGCCGTGAAGGACGAGGAGGGGGCCCCGAAGGGCGGAGGTGGCCAAGTACAGAAAGGTCCCGGAGGCTCATCATGGTTATAATGATGACGAAGGTGATAATACCGACCGGGTTAGCAAGCACAGGTGATTTTCGTGTTACGAACAAAGTACGAAACTGTACATCCAAACAGAACTTTCTAGATCAGCAGGTGCGTCTGTGTCTCGCCGGGATATCCGGTTTGCTGCGCCGTGCCGGCATGTTGCTTACCAATGATCATTCGGGCGACAGTGACAATCCATTTGCGTCTATTTCAATAGATTGTTATCTACAGTCGCTTATTCTTGGATGTTGGTTGGTACGGCTCGAAGAATGATGTACCCAAGCTTGTCGCGATGCTTTTGTAGAATGCTTCTCACCGAAATTACTCGGTCGCGTAGATCGGGTCGCGTGATCACATTCCAGATGATTTTTGCCATGCCTAATGGTCCTTCGTCTTGTAGAATATTGATTGGATTCAAGACGCCAAGCGGTCCAGTCTCGAGACGCGTGACATTGTATCCGGTACGCTCTAGCAGTTCCGTCCAACCCTCGATGCTCGAAGGGTCAAAGCGAATTCCCAGAGCTCGCCCTACTTGTTTGGACACGTTAGTGTTCTCTTCATCATCTTCGCCACGGAAACATATCTCATGCAACAATACTTGATCTGTTTGATCCTTGAGTCCACGCAGAATCCTTTCTCTCTCTAGCTCTGGAAAGTGAGTCAACGAAGCTTCGACCACGATCGCATCAAAATGCTCAGCTTTGTCCAACAAATCGTCGGCATTGAGCAAGTCCATTGGTAGGGTTTCAATCAAGTCACTCGGCCGTTTCTCTACTGCAGTGGCTTTTGCTTTGGCCAGCCTATCGGTGTCTCGGTCTGTCAAGAGGACACGGCAGCTCGTGTTTTCTGCCAAAGCCATGCCACCGGTTCCTAAACCCGAGCAGAGTTCCAGCACGGAGTCTCCGGGTCCAAGATGGGCCCAATCCTGCAGCGTCAATGTGGCCGCACTGCCGCCTGGACGCAGCACTGTCTTGCCCACTTGTTCCAAAACTTGGTGGAAATTATTGAGCTGGTTGGGTTCGGGTCTTGGTTGAGGCGACACAGCCGAGAACACCCAAGAGGTTGCGGGCGTCAGGGCCAAGAAGACGAACAGTTTCAGCTTACTCATCATGATGGTTTGTTGTTGTCTTTACTACCGTATCAAAAAGTACGGACAATTTAGTGACTGGCTGTCACTCTTTGCTTGGATGCAACAGCGGCATCAAGGCGCAACGCTTGGATGTGTGAGTTCTCATTTCCCCAGTCTCGAGTTTTGCCAAAAACAACATGAGATGGTGAAGCTCCGCTGGCGCGTGTCGGTGTCATCTTTTAGGGCCGGTTCATGTTCCGCGTAAAAGCTCACTCACGGTAGCAAAAAGTGACTGAACCCAGTACCGTAGACTATACTGACGTCATCGCGTACGGTATGATACGGTATCTTTTGGATCCTTTGCCTGACACCATTTTTCGATGATTGTTTTCTCACAAACCATGGAGAGCACCACACAAAACTGATTGTTTCTGGGATCACGATGATGCATCAATACTACAGTTACTCCTTGCTTATAGCAACCCTGATCCTGAGCTGCACCTTGACAACAGCTTGGCAGCAGCAGCAGTCTCCAACCAACCGAAGAGGTGCCTTGGAAGGAATTGCGGGGCTTGCCTTTTTGCCCCCTGCCATTGTTCACGCTCAACCTGCCGAATTGCAAAACCTTGGAACCCAAGCTCCACTCCCCGGTGCCGAAGACACACCATTTGTCACATTACCCAATGGCGTCAAGACCAAAGATTTTTCCGTCGGCACGGGCGGCGAAACCGTTTCCGGCAATAGCCGCGTCTCGATTCAATGCAGTGGTCGCCTCCTCAATCTCAATGGGGTCGTTTTCTATAATACCAAAAACAACAATCCCGATGGATTCGGTGCCGTGCCCTTGACGGTTACACTTGGCCAAAACCAAGCATTGCCCGGTTTGGAAGCGGGATTGGTAGGGATGCGCAAAAATGGCATTCGACGCATCATTGTGCCCGCCGAATTGGCATATTCCAAGTATCCCGACCTTGAACCGCAACCCATGACCGAGTTGGATCGACGGGCTTTGGACTCGGTCATTAAAAATCCGAGAAGGGATGCGACCATTCTATTCGATGTCCGATTGGAACGGTTCAAGTAGATCTGTTATAGCTACACGAAAAAGTCCACAGGAGGGCGGATCTGAGGCGATTCGATTCAGACTATCATTGAGATGGATATGCTTCATATGAGAGCATCGCGCTGTCGCACGGACAAGTTGACGTACTTAATAAAATCAAACAATCGGCTAGAACACTTCTTTGCCTCACTATTTGTTAGGTATCCTCATCTCTCACCTGTATATAAGAAGTACTAGCATTAAAAGGCAAACTACCTATCTGGTCCGGAGTCAACGCTGTTACGAATTGAGGGGCCCAAGCAAATGAGTCGTTTATGCGAATGGTCCGCACGACACGAGGGGAACAGCATTCAGTTTCATCGAAACAAGAGGATATTCCTCATAGAAGCACGAGCATAACTAGCTAACTGGTCTAATGTTGTCTTTCACCTCCGTCCCCAACGAGAGGGGACAGATCCTTGTTTCTCCAACTATCACAATGAATGCCTCCTCGTGGAGTGACCGGGGGCGCAGTGGCCTAGTCCAGATTAAGACTAAAATGTGTGATCATCATTTGCTGTTGCCTTTGGAGCTGTTGGTTCGCTGGAGCGAGTTGCTTCTGGAACTCGGTGCGGGCCAGGTTGGTAGATTCGAGCCATCGTGTTGTCTTTCGATAGTGAATGTGAGGGTTTGGTGTATCCTCATCTCTTGTCGAGCAGCCGCACGCAAAAGAGGACAACGATCCTGATCCCTATCCTTCCTCGCAAACCTGAACCCTCATGGGTTCTTCGACGAGTGACTCGACTCACAGTTGCCAAACTGTACCATCTCACAAAACACAAAATCGATTCCCACACTTCGCTCCTACACATCAAGTACATCTCTACATCTCTCAGGTCATCACCTGCGTTCCTGAAATGGATAACCCACATACATGTCGCTATGTCTGCCTCCATTCGCAAGATCGGCTCTAAGGCAATAGCACCCCTCGAAGACCGCTCACAGATAGCAACCCTGAATGAACACAACATGCAAGACCGGTCCAACTCTCTCTGTCAGCCATTGAACAGTCGATCGCAAGAAGGTTGTCTCCTTCTCTGCTCACAATTCTTCCTTCAGCCGAGCTGCAAGCAAGAACTAGAATAGATTAACCTCTTGCGTCGGCATCAGGGTCTAAATCCTTTCGAAAATCTTCGACCATGGCCACCGCTTTATTCTCTACTCTCGTTGACCGCGGAAATCACTGGGACGCACCTGAATTTGATTATGCCGCTCTACTGACCCGTGTCGGTGGTAACGTTGACACGAACAGTAACGTCACTCAAACTACCTTGTGCTCTGCCGTCACGCGGTCTCCTCTCCTCATCGCCTTCGTTCTCACCGGTGATGAAGACTACATCCATGTCGGGCATTCCTTGTTCACATACCCCGCTGACTTCGAACGCGCCTCACCTTACGACAACCTCGCTGTTGTACTTACCGGAAACGACTACACACGGTCGCTCCCGTGTACTTCCAAACACCAGGTTGATCCAACGAACTGTGCAGCGGTCCGCGAGACAATGCGCTGGGCAAGGGAACGCTGGGACATAGTGTTGGAATGGTCCGGATTGGTTTAGGCGACGATCCTCCTACCCTTCACTCCGGGCTGCACCATGGAGCCCAGCCTGGATGTAGCGGCCGTTTTGACAAGGCCTATCGATCACGTCGTTTGTTCATGCCCCTTGCCTCACTCACGCTTACCTCACGTTTCCGGCTCACTCAAGTAGTCCTGCCGGTCGCTTCTCCATCGTCCAGTTCCGAACTCATCCTTGCTCCCGAGATCACCTCACGCCGAAGCCGCCCGTCAAAATGCCATTCTCCCCCTCGTCCAATCGGTTTCGCGCTGTTGCTACCCGCGATGCGGGTGGCTCTCTCCTACGCATCACCGGAGAATACTCTGGTCTCCCTGCCAACGTCATGGCTCTCCAGCGATGCCTAAACTCGGTCAACCGTCCGTTGCCCACTGCCCTAGGCGCCACCGGACCTGGATTAACAAACGACACTTTCAACGCGGGGGTAGCCGGCATCCAAGACACACTCAAAAACGTCAACCGTGAACAACTGAACTTCGAGCGCACTCGAGTAACAAAAACCTTCACGTCCAAATACGGAGTAAATCTGGCCTCTCGCATCCACAACCTCTGCAACGTGGCCTCTGACGATGATCTCCCTGAGATCCATCGTCTCCTGGCTGATTGTTCGAAGGGTAGCGACTACAACACCCTTCAATGCCACCTGTACATACGCACCAGTGCTTCTCCGCTTGGCATCGAACAAGAAAACAAACCCCTGGCCACCGGCCACATCCTTGACAAGTTCTTTCGGAAGTACGAGATCTCTTCCACGGGACATGTCCTCGGGGTCGGTCTCTCTCCTTTCTCTGTCATATGTCCAGGACACGAAGAGTCCAAGGCTGTTATGGACTTAGCCTCCAAAGCTACCCTCGTCGAGCGAGGACGCTCCATCACTCTGCAGGACGCAGACACTCTCTACACGACGGACGTGAAGTTTCCAGTAGACCCTCGCACCGCCGAAGAAAAACTCTACGGCATCTCAATCCTATTGGATGTCTTTCATGGGGGTTTGAGCACGCGATCTCCGTGAACGTTCGGAGTGTAGTCCGAAGACTTGGTCCCAGCCTATACACCATTGCCCGAAACTACGCCGACAAACCCAGTCTAGGTATGGACATCATTGGCCGCATCCTCTATGACATACAACAGGACTACTTTGCCTGGGTCAAGTTGGCTGTAAACGACCGTACGGCTGTGCCTCCAAACTTCACGACACTCTTGGGACACGTCCAATCTCATCGGGCCTCAGTCCTAGCCACTCTCCCGTCCTACTGGTACTCCCTCATCAAACCTATCGCTCCACCCTGACTATTGACAAACCTGCCGGAAATCATCAACAAAAGGCCGGAGCCCACGGTGTCACCAACGCTCACGGGGACAACGACCTTCTCAAACGATTCCAGTCCGCTGGTCATCGCTCCATTGGGGAGATGACCCGCGGACATGACATCACCATCCCCCAGCATGGCGGCCAAGACGTCTGTCTAGCTTGGGCCCTGAAGGGAAACTGCATCTCGTCCTGCAAGCGAGCTGCCACCCACAAGCGCTACTCGGCGGCTACGGTTCAGAAGCTCCACACTCTCCTCTCGGACTGTGGAGTTGTGGAGTTGCTGACCCGCTGCCCTGAGTCTCCACGCCGGGACCCACGGTAAGCGGTGGGACTACACCAACCGTTCCCGTCGCCCTGTACCACCGAAAGAAAAGTTTTGGGGGGCCTTTGGCTCGCCCCTACCTAGTAGCCTTGATGTCCCTCCGTCCGGTAGAAATCGACGAGCACTCCTGTCCTCAACATAAACACGTCCGCACACTCTTCATACACTTCACACAACAACAACTCCACTCCTTCACCTACTAAGCGCTCTTCACTCTTCGACAACTCGCCTCCTGCGAAACGTCCTTCACCTTCAAAATCTCGCCTCCACGACACACCTAAAACTACTAGTACTCCCGTTGACACCAGATCTGTCCGAAATGATCGTCTAGGTACGTTAGTTACTAAATTATGCCGCGACTACTCCCAAGCCGAGTCCTGGGAATCCTTTGTCACAAACTTCCGAGGTAGATCCTACCTCTCCCCCGAACTGGAACAAGTCGATAATCCAGCCATACCCTTGCTCACCGATTGGCGTGACCATGGGGTTTCCGTCAACAACAACTCCCCTCCTGGGACCGCCGAGCAGAAGGAAGAATGCATCCGCCGTGGATGCCACAATTCTGCCACCGAGCACTCCCCCTTCCTCCGAGAGGAATTCTCCGAATTCATCACCAAAAAGTTCTGGGTAGTCCTACCCTACGACATTGTCAAAGACGAACCTTCTTTGCTGCTATCCGCCGCTGCTGTCAAAGAAGAACGGGACCGCAAACCCCGTCTCATCAGCGATCACTCCTGGGACTGGGGATGGCCCTCGGTGAACCAAACCACTGTTCATCATGCTCCACCCGAAGCCATGCAATTCGGAGGCGCCCTTCCCCGGATTCTCTACGATGTCCGCCACGCTAACCCCAAGTTTGGTCCAGTCCGCCTCTGCAAGCACGACATCAAGGATGGCTTCTACCGTATGTTCCTGAACGCCTCAGACTGCATCCGACTCACGCTCGTCCTCCCAAAATACGAAGGAGAAACCCCAACTGGTAGCCATACCAATGTCTTCCACCATGAGTTGGGTCCAATCCCCTCCAACATTCAGCGGAATGTCCGAAACTGCTTGCGACCGCGGTAACTCGCCCTTCTCGCACTCGCCGCGCTCTTGTCCGCCGCACCGCCTCAAGGAACCGGCCTCTCGCCAGGACGACCTGGACCATTCCATGACTCCACGACCCCGCGACGCCGAAGACGAGTCCGCCACTCAGGCCCTCCTGAACATCGCCACGGAGCCCCTCGAGTCCGCCGCCGACGACGACATTGCGGCAGTCTCCAACAGAGTCTACAACCGTCCCCTAGGCCGCAATGATGTCTTCGTTGACGACTTCATCCAACTCGGGCAAGGAGGCAAGAACCGCATGAACGTACTTCGTCGCCACCTTCTCCATGCTATCGACGAGATCCTTGCGCGCCCAAACCTGGACGAAAAGCATCGCAACGAAGCCGTCTCCTTGAAGAAACTACTAAAAGGCGACGGTAGCTGGGCCACCCGAAAACTCATCCTCGGCTGGATCATTGACACTCTACGACAGACACTCGAACTACCTCCCCATCGCAAGGAAGCTCTCGCGGCTATCTTCCAAGAGCTAGCTGCCTGCAAGCGCGTCAGCAACAAACGCTGGATGCAAATCCTCGGAAAACTCCGCTTCGTCTCGGTCGCCATACGGGGTTCCGCTGGGTTGTTCAGCGCTCTCCAACTCGCCCTCACCAAGTCCAAAGGAGGAAGGATCCGGATCAATACCGCGTTGAGATCCAACATTGATGCCTTTGCTGATCTTGCTGCCAGCCTCTGCCACCGACCCACACACCTCGCTGAGATCGTGCCCCAGGACCCCTCCTATCGGGGCCACTGACGCAGCCAAGGCCGGTATGGGTGGTGTCTACTTCGACTCCACGGGTCAAGGATACCTCTGGAGAGAGCCTTTCCCGGACGACATCCAACGCGACCTGGTCTCGGCCGCAAACCTCTCCGGCTCTATCACCAACAGCGACCTGGAACACGCTGGCATTCTGGCTCAACAAGCTCTCCTCGCCGACCGCCACGACGTCCGCTACGCGACCCTCTACACGCTCTCGGACAACACCCCAGCGGTCTCCCGGGTGGCCAAGGGTGCCGTCTCCACTGATGGTCCTGCCGCCTTCCTCTGCAACTACGCCTGTCTCCATCAACGCAAACACCGGTACTGCCCCCTCTCGTCGTATATCCCAGGACCGGCTAACGTCATGGCCGACGACACATCTCGTCTCCAACATCTCACCATGCCCGAACTCCTGTCCCACTTTGAGCAGCACTATCCGCAGCAGCTACCCTGGAAGGGGTTGACTCTGCCACCCGAGATCACTTCCAGTTTACTCTCCGCGCTTCGCTGCAAGTTGCCTCCAAAAGCATCGTCTCCAAGACCGCTCAGGCCCGCAACCGCACCTTCGGGCGCTGGTGTGAATTCTGCGATCGCCACAAGGTCCACGCAACCCTCCGTGATATCCTTGAGCCCGAGGTCCGTATCTGCTACCTCCTTGCCTTCGCCCACAACTACCGCGTGTCGAACGCTGTCCGAGCTGACACAGTGGTCAAAGCCCTTCACGCCGTCGGCGAGGGGATATCCAACTTGGACCAGCCTGATCCCCGACTCGGCTCCGACGGAAAGCTCCATCCCATACTCACTGGTTACTACAAAGGACTCCATGACGGTGACGGACCTCCCGACCGGGCCTACCCTGCCAACATCTCCATCCTCCAAGAAATGCTCTCCGCTCTCGACTACGTTGACCCCGTCCGGGGCACTGTCAACCAACACACTCGGGACCTCTGCATCTGCGCCTTCTTCTGGCTCCTCCGCCCTTCTGAATACCTCGACACCAGTGACCCTGAGGCCCGAAGCCAGGCCTTTCTCCTTGAGGACATCACCTTCACCATCGCGGGTCGCCTCCAAGTCACCGCTGACAAGATCTCTTTTAATGACGTGTCTGACCCCAGTCGCCTCACCGCGTCTTCGTTGACATTCACTGACCAAAAGAATGCCGTCAAAGGCGAGTCGGTGGTTCACCGGGCTACCGCTGACTCCTGGCTTTGTCCTGTCAAATCCCTCGCTCGTCTCGTCCGTCACATCCGCTCCGCACACATCACTCTCAACACTCCAGTGGAGGCTCGCGCCTCCACTCCACTCTACAAACACTACAACTCCGTCCGTAAGAAATGGTACAACGTCAAGCCCAAGTTCGTCACCGATGCCCTCCGTGCTGCCGCAAAGCGGCTCGAACGGACCACCGGAATCTACCACATGAAAGTCTCCGCTCGCCCCCTCCGTCCGGGCGGCGCCACTGCTCTCCTCTGCGCCAATGTGGACTCTGATGCCATCCGCCTCCTCGGTCGATGGCAGCCAGACGCCATGTTGCGCTAACTCGCATCCATGCCGCCACCATCACGCATCACTCTTCCCAGAAAATGCTGGCCCATGGTGCCTACACCTTCCAGGCGGGATCCTACGACAAGTTCCTCCCGCCTGCTCAGGCGCCTGCTACTATCGCAGAGATCCTCCTTCACGCGGAACTCTACGAGGACTAATCTCCCTTAGTCCAACCTTTCTCCAGAGAGACCTTGCCTCCTCTCGGTCTCTCAAACTTTCCCACCCCGCTACGCTCCCACCCTGTTCTGCCTTTGGCTATTTGGGTTGGCCGAATGTCGTACAATCACGCGGGACTCACATCCCGCGGGACTGCCTCATTCGCGCCTTGGTTCCCGCTCGGGATTCTAGCAATCACGAGCGGCACCCCCTGGGTAGGCGGAGACGTCGGCTCAGTAAATGGCCGAGTCTCTCCACCACCACATCCTCTACTCAACTAGTCGTGCAGGCTGCTCTAGGCGAGCGCCGCTTGTCGGGCTCGTTGTCGAGCAGCCGCACGCAAAAGAGGACAACGATCCGATCCTTATCTTCCTCGCAAACCTGAACCCTCATGGGTTCTTCGACGAGTGACTCGACTCACAGTTCCAAACTGTACCATCTCACAAAACACAAAATCGATCCCACACTTCGCTCCTACACATCAAGTACATCTCTACATCTCTCAGGTCATCACCTGCGTTCCTGAAATGGATACCCCACATACATGTCGCTATGTCTGCCTCCATTCGCAAGATCGGCTCTAAGGCAATAGCACCCCTCGAAGACCGCTCACAGATAGCAACCTTGAATGAACACAACATGCAAGACCGGTCCAACTCTCTCTGTCAGCCATTGAACAGTCGATCGCAAGAAGGTTGTCTCCTTCTCTGCTCACAATTCTTCCTTCAGCCGAGCTGCAAGCAAGAACTAGAATAGATTAACCCACCTCTCCCTCCCTGGGTTGGCCGAATGTCGTACAATCACGCGGGACTCACATCCCGCGGGACTGCCTCATTCGTGCCTTGGTTCCCGCTCGGGATTCTAGCAATCACGAGCGGCACCCCTGGGTAGCGGAGACGGTCGGCTCAGTAAATGGCCGAGTCTCTCCACCACCCTACTCTACTCAACTAGTCGTGCAGTGCTGCTCTAGGCGAGCGCCGCTTGTCGGCGCTCGTCACCTGCACCAATTCTCACCCATTCAGCTCTTCCTACCGTACTGGACGGCCACTCTCATTCAGCCCTTTTCTAAAGGGTCTCAAATCCCAACCCTCAGCAGCTGCAAAACCTTACATTTCTTTCCAGGGTGGTACTGTATATTCCAATCTCACTACGGTGGCCCATTTCAGCATTTCCAATGTCAAAATTGCCCCCTCTGGCAGCTGCTTGGCTAGTAGCAAGTCCACCATGAACAGCCAGCCATTGTCATGCATTTATGAGCCCATTGCAACACTCCCATATCGTATGCCCCATTGCTAGCTAGCTAGCTGCTTCGTCGCATGCAGAGAATTCCCAAGTGCCCACGTGAGATCATGCATGTACTCTGATTCCATGGTCACGCAACCCGCACACAATTTGCTGCATACCGGTACGGTAGGCCCACATGGCAATTTTTTTTGCTGCATACTTTCATCCCAGGGCAACCAACCATTCTCTCTGGCCCAATCGAGTTCGATAAGAAGGTCCCATTGAGTTTGTTTGATCCCATCTGACCATCTCGAAAGTGTCCGGGATAAAAAAATGTGGCATGCTCGGGCCAAGCCTTCCGAGCACGAATAAAGACCATAATAAAGTAATAATTACAGCAAGCGAGAGATCTTTTGCTCAAAAATGGCGGATGGTCATCGAAAATGACTTATGTCTCTGGCTCGATGGACGACTGCAACCAAATGCGTGAAGTGCTCTTTTTTTGTTCGCCAAGTTTCAAGCCAGGCCACATCACGGCAAAGGATAGAAGTGAAAGTCGAGTGACAGTCGAGTCCATTGCTAATAGCAGTGTTTTGCTAATCATCCCGTCTGATATCTGATTATTCAACTCTTGCTGGGGGTATACCGATACATCCATCCATACAGGTACCATAGATAGAGCCAGTCTCCTGATACCCTTCGATTCCATTAAGCTCCGCTTTCAGGAACACGTGACAATCTCTTCTTGGGTTATACTATACTGTATACATATACCCCTCAGTTTATTCCGTCGGAAGCTGCAGCAAGAATCAAGTCAAGACAACTGAGTCCACAGATCTTTATCATCAGTATCAATCAATCCATCATGGCCGACCCGTATTATGCGAATCCCTTTGCGGACGAAAACGACGACGACGAGGAAGAAGAGAAGCTCAATGGCAGTCTCAACATGAAACGGTTGGATGATTTGGAAACAGAGCTGCAGAATGATTTGGACGAATTGAAACAAGAATTGCAAGAAATTTCGTCTCGCGGCGACGTGGAGGACAGTGATGGTTCACTGGAAGAAGACCAATTGCAACGCAAGACAGATCCGCGACGCATGAGTGAAGCCAGTCGTCAACCATCGACGACCACGGAACTGTCACAAGAAGAAGAAGATTCCATTTTCTGGGCCAATGAAGATGCCACCCTTCACAATCTCAGTGACAGTTATACACTGCGAGATGAGAAATCCAATGAAGGCAGTAGTGGCGACCTCTTTGGATTTATTAGTACTACTCCAACAACAACACCAGCAAAACGCTCGGCACCTCTCATTGATGTGGGTCATTTGGAAGGGAACGATTCCTTGACGGATCATGCCGACGACGGCGATGCAATACCACTCATGGGATCGGGAGATTACAAGTCCACTCCTCCCACATCATCACCACCACCCGTAGTGTCACCACCACCACCACAAGACGACGAATGGCAAGATGATGATGATGACGACGAAGAGTGGGAAGATGGAGATGAATTACAACTGCCACAACGACAGCCTTCCTTTCAAAGTGATAGTCAGGGCAGTGGTGATGTATTGCCCGACTGGAACGACCCCGCGGAAGCCATGCCCCAATGGAGAGATGACAGTGCCCGCGAAGGAAGCATGTATGACAGTACGAGGCGACGAAACAACAGCAATCGTCTTCAAGGAAGCAGCAGTCGACTACAAGGAAGCAGCAGTCGACTACCCTTGAACGAGAGCAGTCGTCTGAATGAAAGCAGTCGAAGACCTTTGCACGAAAGCAGTCGCCGGAGTGACGCTCCCTATTACAATCCGAACCAATCCTCCTCACCACAAACCGAAGACAGTAGTTCCGAAGACAACAACCAGTTTTTGGATTCACCCCAATCGGCACCGTACGATGATACCAATCCATTATTGATTGTCGATCGGACACCGGAACAACTCAGTTCCCGGAGTGATTTTGATCACGACCATGTCGAAGAATACGTCATGATGCAAGAATCACCGGGAGGCGAAGAACAAGATCCACTACAGCAACAACAACAACAACAGCGACAACCCAGTAACCGCTCCCTCCGCAAGAGCCAACGGGCACATGATTGGGGCGCCTGGACCATTGGCATGACTGCCATTATTCTCTGTTGTGCTGCCATTTCCTGTGCCATTTTTCTACCACTCCATTTCCTCGTTTGGAATAAAGACAGCGGGGAAGAACCCACTGCAGCTCCCACCGATTCTTTTCCGTATCTGCCCTTTTATACCAACTTGCCCTTGACGACACAAGCCATGTTGCGCAACGAGAGTCATGCCAACAGTCCACAAGCACGTGCATACGAATGGATGCAAGAGGATCCCAATTTGGACAGTTATTCGCCCGAACGACAAGTTCAACGATTTGCCATGGCCACGGTCTTTTACGGATTGCGGGGCGAAAACTGGACCACTTCGGCCATTAGCAATCCCAAATTCTCCAATCAATGGTTGAGTTACAATGACAGCGAATGCAACTGGGGGAGTATCGGGGGAGACCTGGGGGTTGCCAATTACTGTGAGGTGGGATTGATTCCTACGGCTACGGGGGGATCGTTGCAAGGCACCAATGCCACCGTTCCCGCGGTGCAATCGGCACCGATCATTTCGACAACAAAAAGTCGAAGTAGCAATAACATTTTTGATCACAACGAACGACTGTTGCGAGGAGGATTACGACATTTGCAAGATGCCAATGCTACTGCTACTGCTGCTGCTGCTACTACGCCCCCTTTTCCACAAATTCAACAACTCATTCTTCCGCGAATGAATCTTGTGGGGAGTTTTCCACCCGAGCTGGCGCTTCTCACCAGTCTCAAGGTCCTGGTCATGAACAACAATAAACTCTTTGGCACCATTCCCCGTGAAATGGTCCGGTTGCAACAACTGGAACGACTCAGTCTGGCACACAATTTCCTATCGGGGACGATACCCAACCAAGAGTACAATCTCTTTTTCGACAATTTGCGCATTTTGGATGCAAGTCACAATCGACTCTCGGGCAACTTGCCGGACGATTTGGCATGGATGTCCCATTTGGAACAGTTGCATCTACAGCACAATCAACTCGGTGGCATGCTGCTCAAGGATATTCAAACGTGGGGTGATACGCTCACGTCGCTGCTACTCCATGACAATCAATTTTCGGGAGTTTTGCCCTGGCAACTGGGGATACTATCGAATTTGGAAATTTTGTCCCTGGACAACAATCAATTTGTGGGGACTCTCCCGACCCAAATCGCAGCCATGACCAAGCTGCAAGAATTACACTTGTACAATAATAAGATCGAAGGATCTCTGATCAGCGAAGTGGGGAAGTTGGGAGACCTCAAATTTTTGGGATTGGTGGGCAATCAGTTCAATGAAACTCTGCCGAGTGAACTGGGCTTGTTGACACAGCTGGAGAGTTTGTGGTTGTACGAAAACGCTTTTACGGGTCCGATCCCGGAAGAGCTGGGTGGTTTGGCAGCCGCAGCCTTGCAGCATGTCATTTTGTACAATAACAGTTTGACGGGTTTGATCCCAGAGGAATTGTGCGACATTCAACAGTTCCAATTTGACTGTGGGCCAGAGTATCTCTGTGGCTGCGACTGCAGTTGGTGTGTCATGCCAGAAACGGACGCACCGATAGAAGTGGATCCTGACAGCGAGGGAAGCAACAACAATGCCTCAATCACAACTCCTCCTGATGGAGCAGATGATGGGAACACGGGAGAAAACGATGTAGACGGGGGCACTGCTACAAACACAAACGCTACAGACGGTGGAACCGCAGACACGGATGATGAGGTCGAGCAAACCACGACCGCAAACAACACGGACAGTGGGGCCGTTGGCGACACGGACACTGGGAACACGGCAACTAACGAAAGCGACTCTGACACCGACAACAACAACAACAACGCCACAGCAACGGACAGCGACACAAGCACACCCGTCGACACGGACGAGACTACGCTGGCTCCGACGACCTCACCGACTGCACCCGTCGAGACAGTCGAAACTACGTTGGCCCCCACGAGCCCACCGACTGCGGGTTCCACCAGCGTTAGTGTGGCAACCAACTCGACGGCCAGTGCAAATACTACATTGGCGCCTGGCGAAGGTACGGTCATTGAAAGCTCTGCAAACAATTCATCCAGCTCGAATTCCACTAATTAAAGTCGTCGATCGGCATCACGAATATGGCGCAGCCACGAAACTCCCAAAGAACTTGGCATTCATGGAAGAAGTTTGTTCAGCACCACTTTTCGTGCAAGATGATACTGCAGCCTGTGAAGCTGCTTGTGAAAGTGCGCGGGACTGCTGCAACCCTTACTATGGGGTTAGCGGCTGCTTTGAAGGAGAACTGCCTGGATGCTTTGCCTATGCGAAGTGTCATGCCTTGAAAGGCTTGTTTTTCCCTGCTCCGAATGACTTGGATCGGATCTGTAGCAAAGCCCAGCTTGAAATCAACCGGCAAGAATGTATACAAGCGTGCTCCATTGTTTCCTGTTGTTATCAGGAAGAGGAATCTTGTGTCGCCGAACTGCTTGACACTTGCTTGGATTTTGCCCCTTGTCAAAATCTCAAAGACAGCTCCGTTGATGTGCCCGTAGCACCCGCGGATTTGGATGAACGTTGTGCAAACTCACGACCCTCTTGCAGGCGAGACTGTGCTGACGCCCTCTGTTGCTCGGATCCCACCTCAACATGCTATCGCGACAACTTTCTAGCTTGTCTTTCATACTCATCTTGCACAGGCAATTCCGATACCATTATCACTGTGGCGCCCGTTAATTCTCGCGTAACTGCACCTCCAGGCGTTTTGGATGATATTTGTTCTCCCCGAGGCATTGCTGATGTTGGCGTCGACAAATGTCGCGAAGCTTGTGCCGGAGCAGAGTGCTGCTGGGTAGATGGAGGGTGTTTTGGAGACGACCCTTTGGGATGCCTGGAATATCAACGTTGCACCATATTGATTGACACCACGACGGGGAGTGACCGTGATGATCCGCCAGATTTGGGATTGGAGGCTCAGTACGGGATTCGGTCAGTGACACACGAATGGAGCGAAGACGAAGTGAAACTCGAGTATGAAATCAGCGACTACATCTTGGATTCGTCTGTGGGGTACATTCTCTATGATGGCCTGGATTGTCGGCGAGACGCCAACGATATCACGGAAGGCAACGCATACCTGTTTATAGAATTGGTCGCACCGCAAGACGATGGAGCTGACTTGACCAACGGGGGAATTGGATCACGTCAATTCGATATTCGTGTCACGATCAACCGGGAAGCGATCACCGACGCACCCTTCTTCTTCCCCAGTGGTTTGGACGCGGGAATCTTGCAATTTTGCATTGGATTCATCGCGGATTACAATCAAGTTGATGGGTGGCAAGGCGACGTTGAGGTACGAGGATAGCTAGTGCTTTGGGAAGGGCTGGTTTCACTGACTGTCACTCAACTCACATATATTTTGTTTGCCAAACGCCTGACAGGTCAACGCAGTCAAAACAGCCGTGCAAATCAGTATGAGTCTTGCTGACTTTGGCCGATTCGATGATGTTACCGTAAGAACTATTGTTAGGCCACTGTACAACTAGCGAGAACCTGATGCCAGCTAGTAGACGAAGTTGACCCTTAAGGTGAGACTCGACCGTATTCTGTTGATGGACGAGGAGCTCGTTGACCGCCTTCCAATGCAAGCAGGGAAACACAAGCAATGACTAGCTATAGCACAGCATGCAATCCCACTCGCGTTGGCTGGTGGTTCTCTGCCCCCGAGATCCCAGACAGCGAGAAGCTCCTCTACGAGGAATGCAAGCGAATACCGGGGGTTATGAAATATTGAATTCTTGTCGCAAGCTAGCTTGGAGTTTGGCATCCTGGGCGTTAGTATAGTTTCTGCATTGCAACTCTACAATAAAGAAACTAGCCACCTATTAATAGTAGTTTTCGAGGTCATTCTCTTCATCAAATCTTCGGGCATCTTCCATCATTTCATCGAGCGAATCAGAAACCCTCTGGAGCTCCTGACGAGCTGCGACCCTTTGTGACTGGGACCATGATTCCAGATGCACAGTGCATTCATGGAGCAGAGGTTGTGTTGGATGAAGGAGAGCCACTGCCGCCAATGCTCGAAGGGCTTGCAAGGATTCACAGTTGATATCAAGCCATGCCAAGGATTTGGTCAGGTATATTTCTCGTTTAGCCATGGGAGCGAACTCGAGGATTCTATCCCGTATTTGAAGCTGAGGGAAATCAGTAAACTCCCGTTGAAGTTTCTCCAGCAGTGTCTCCGAATCCAAGAGTGCCTCAGGGAAGGGTCGCAGCAGTACCATCCTTCGCTCCAGCATATCCATTACGAAAAATTTCAAACTCAAGGAATGAGGTATCAGGCTCTCGTACCGGTAGTGCTGCTGGATACTGGGAGACAAGCTATTGAATGACATCCGGGTGTGAGTGCCACGAGCACGCTGCGTGAAGTGGAAGCAACCACTGCTACCATGGATCTGCAGTGCTTCTGGGTATGTAGGCTTGGATTTTTATCAAGCAAATGATGGAGTGGCATGCCAAGAACTGGAGCGACGCCTGAGTGCTTCTGGATATCTTTGCATAAGGAAACCGAATTCTTTCACCCCCCTACGCATCAACTTCACAAGCTTGGTGCAAAGGCAGCTTTCGATAAACATCAGAACGTTGCATTGCCTCAGGGTGTGCATTACAAATGTACTCCAAAACCTCCACGGAAGTGAGTCTTGAGCAAGCCTTGAAGAGAAGGGTAGAACCACAGTGCGTCAGCACACGGCAGAAATCTTCCTGCTGAATTGTCTTGACATGCTCCCATTGAGTTTCGACTTCTTCGCTGGGAAAGACAAAGCTGGATGGTCTGAGCATTTCTCGCTTGGTCGTCCTCGCAATGGCGATATACATGAATGGTATCCCGTGGAAGGGGCAAATGTTGCCGGATTTCCTCAACCGTGACTTCCCGAAATCTGTCCAAATTATAACCCAAGAAGCAAAGATCCACATCCTTGGAGTTCATGAGGATGACACAATGATGGTACCATGGGTGGGGTCTGCCCACACAACGAAGAACTTTGCCTTGTTCTCTTCTACTGCATGGGTTGTTTGCCTGTGACAACTAGTTAACTGTCCATGACTGAAGACTCGCGACTTGTATCTTTCTCCTATCCACGTTTCAGCAACCTGGGTATATCGGCGGCGCGAGCGTCCCCGGCCGGCCAGAAGCCATTCGAGCTGGGATATGGGGCCCAGTGAGAGTACAAAAGCAAAACAATGTAAATAACAAATTCGACTCACCAGGAGCTAAAAAGAGAGGAGATTTCGCATGCTGTCAGATTTTCTGAATCAGTCTGGTACGTTAAGAGAGTCTACTACATTTTGGCGTTTGTGTGTTAGGACTACACTATCACGTGTTTTAGATTTGTTGTTGTAGCATATTAGAACTGTGTAAGATTTCTGTGCTGGTGAGACGCGTCACAGAACTATTCCAATGTATGTTAGCTTTTTGTTGTCATATGAAATGCATTTATTGTCGTGTCATACGTGGAACTTTGTCTGTATTATGCCATGCAATTTAGCTGCCAAGCTATATTTTTGGGTGATAGAAGTATACATCATTGCGTTAGAGTTACATTTTTCGCGCAATAGAGCTACATTTTCGCGATTAGAACTATATTTTGTGGGTCAGAGCTGTGATCTGATGTGTTAGAGCTATGTTCTTATGTGTTAGAATTATCTATAAATTTTGTAATAGAGTCGCGTAATGTTGTCGTGCAATGTAGCTATATAAATATGTTTGGTAAAATCGTCAAAAACATCATATTTTTACATTAAAATGAATTCGTTTTTGCATTTTTATTTTAGAAAAAATTTATTTAAAGTCCCAGTACAACAGTAAAATAACGACTGCCAACAGTCAACAAAAACAACGTTTTGCAATGGACATTTGCAATACACAGTTCACCCCCCAGCTTGAGCAGCTACAGATAGCTGGAGTAGGTATACATCTGCTTAACTCTCAATCGGTTTGGCACCAAGCCTTGCAGCTGCGACGTTCTAGCAGCACCTTTATTCCACTCTTTTTGAGGCCTTCCAAACAGCAGTTAGATGCCCCATACAATTTTCTACAGTACCAGAAAGCACATTATTGTTTTACGCGCACTACTATACAACCAAGGCAGCTACTACTTCCCGCTCATATAGATTTTGAGGAGGGCTACAAGCTTGATCCATCCCTGCACTGGTTGTATGCAAATTCCATATGAGCCTCTCACCTCATTGACTTTCGTTATTTGTTAGTTTACTTTTTT